CGCCTCCCAGGTTCACGCCATTCTCCTGCGCTCAGCCTCCCGGTCTTTAGTAGAGACGGGGTTTCACCATGGTCTCGATCTCCTGACCTTGTGATCCGCCCTCCTCGGCCTCCCAAAGTGCTGGGATTACAGGCGTGAGCCACCGCGCCCGGCAAGACCATTTCTTAGTGTTCCCTTAGACCCTTTTTATAGTAGTATAGTTTCATGTACATTTTCTCTACATGTGACATAATCCTAATACTGTACATCTCCAAAGCACCCTTACTTTGTGGTTTATCACATTGTTTGTGCTAATGGCTCCCAAAACTGGGCTAACCGAAGCTGAGTATATCTGTGGAATTCCTTTTTCATTCCCTTTCTTCTACACATGCACCTCTTTCAACCTTAAGGCATGCTGAAATTTCCCTTCCATCGGTGATAGGTGGGACTGCTTAACTTGAGGCTTAAGTTCTTTTCCAAAGATTATCATAAGACTAGGTTGCCTTATGACCTCAGAGAAGCACTGAAACCTGGTGAAAGGGCACACAGCCATTTTATTAAGGGGCAGAGTACTGTTCTGTTACTTAGAGGAAGGTCTTAAAATAGTTTGCTTTCTTTTTTTTTTTGAAATGGAATCTCGGTCTGTTGCCCAGGAAGGCAGTGGTGCAATCTCAGCTCACTGCAACCTCCGCCTCCCAGGTTCAAGCGATTCTTCTGCCTCGGCCTCCCAATTAGCTGAGATTACAGGCACCCGCCACCACGCATGGCTAATTTTTAAAATTTTATTTTTAGTAGAGATGGGGTTTCATCATGTTAACTAGGCTGGTCTCAAACTCCTGACCTCAGTAGATCCACTCAGCCTCCCAAAGTGCTGGGATTACAGGCATGAGCCACTGCGCCTGGCCAGTTTTACTTTCTTTTAATCTTATTTTTAACACAGCACGTACTACCTTATGTTGCACTGGGCTCAGACCTAGTCTCTAAACAAAAGGAATTCTTCACGTACTTCTCACATCTTGTATTGTACATATCACTTAGAGCTCTTGGTGAAAGATTATTTGAGACAGTGTTTTAAAATGACAGTAAAATGTTTCTTACCAGTTTTCTGGAAAACATCATTTTAATGTTTTGCTGCGAATTGGCCTTGAGACCCTAAACACCTGTGTTGTAGCCGTGTGATCCTTATTTGTACTGTAGTATTATTTTTCCTGTCATTTTTAAATTAACTCTTGGAGCCATCTTTGATTCTTCCCTCTTCTAAGTATTTGTTCAGTTGCAGACCATTATTGTTTCTTCATAATCTCTTTTACATTCCGTCCTCCTCCCTTCCCACTATTCTTTTTTGTTTGTTTGTTTTTTGTTTTGAGACAGTCTCACTCTGTCACCCAGGCTGGAGTGCAGTGGCGCAATTTTGGCTCACTGCAACCTCTACTTTCTGGGCTTAAGCGATTCTCCTGCCTCAGCCTCCCAAGTAGCTGGGACTACAGGTGTGTACCACCACGCCCAGCTAATTTTTGTGTTTTTAGTAGAGACAGGGTTTCACCATGTTGGTCAGGCTAGTCAAACTCCTGGCCTCCAGTGATCCATCTGCCTCTGCCTCCCAAAGTGCTGGGATTACAGGCACGAGCCACCGCTCCCTGGCCCCTGCCCACTATTCCTAGGCTATTATTCTGCTGTCTCCTGATAGGCTTTTAAAAATCCATCTCCTTTCTTCATAGGGCATCCTACACAACAGTATCTGATCCATCCGCTTAAAACCGCAGAACCTTTCTGCTATCCCTTTCAGAAAACTAGATTGAATTCCTGTTCAAATGCGAATGCCCCTGTCTGCTCTCAGGGCTCATTTTGACTCGATTTACTTTCCCTAGGTTGTCTTGCACAAAACCCCTGATGAACATTCCGCTCTAGCCTTGGCAGTCTATTCCTGTCATAGAAATGCCTTGGGCCGTCTTTCCTTGGGTCTTTTTTAATGCTCTTCCCCTCCTCAGATGCTTGTCTGAATTCTTTGCATTCTTCAAGTTCCTATGTAGCTTTTCCTGGCTGTTAAAGCCTGAAGTGATCTTTGTATTCTGAAATTCTCAGGAAATAATGATGTGTATTTGATTCTGTAAATACTACATTAAATATTAAATACTGTAAATGTTAGCGTTACATAAAATTTAAAGTTCCTAGAATATGTGAAATTATTATATCCTGCATTTCTGACAGGTAGTCATTTACTCTCTCCTTACCCATCACCCTAGAGCACAGCACTTCCCAAGCTAACACTTTCATCCATTTAGTAAAACCTTGACCCCATTTTTTGTCCTTTTGTCCTAGTGTTTCTTTTTTCTGTTTTTTGTTTGTTTGTTTGTTTGTTTGTTTTAGACAGGATCTCGCTTTGTCACCCATGCTGGAGTGTGGTGGTGCAGACACGGTTCACTGCAGTCTCAACTTCTGGACTCAACCGATCCTCCCACATCAGCCTCCTGAGTAGTTGGGACCACAGGCGTGCGTCACCATGCCTGGCTAATTGTTTAATTATTTTTTGTTGAGATGAGGTCTTACCATGTTGCTCAGGCTGGGTTTTTTTTTTGTTTTTGTTTGTTTGTTTTTTGTAGATCTCCCTTTTTCACCCAGGCTGGTATTCAGTGGTGTGATCATGGCTCATTGCAGCCTCAACCTCCTGGGCTCAAGAGATCCTCCTGCCTCAGCCTCCTGAGTAGCTGAGACTACGGGAACCTGCCACCACGCCTGGCTAATTTTTGTATTTTTTGTAGAGACGGGCTTTCACCATGTTGTCCAGGCTGGTATTAAACTCCTGAACTCAAGCAATCAGCCCGCCTCAGTCTCCCAAAATTCTGGGACTACAGAAGTGAGCCACAGAGCCTGGCCTCAGGCTGTTGACTTTTGAAATAATATAGAATACGGCTTTGTTTTATAAGAACCCTAAAAATGTTTGATGATAGCCTTTGTGTCTCCTGAAATCATTTCTACTCCAGGCAAAACCTGTTCCTGTTACATTTCTTGTATGCTTTGTTTTACAATTCCTCCTCTTGTATTGATAATAGTTCTGTCCTGTCCAATGTCCCTCTTAAAATTTGGTCCCAACAATGAAGCATAAACCTGTGCAGATTACAGAGAGACTGTGTGCTCTGGAGACTATGAAAATGGATGTAACCTAAAATTGCGTTTTATTTTTTTAGCAGTCGTACCATAGGCTCAGGTTTAAATATTAAAACTCCAGACTTCTTCCGTGGAACCACTATTAATCCACCCTGTATTGCTTTTTATCTTGTGAACTCTAAATCTCATAACTGACTGAGTTGTCCTCTCATGTTGGCTGCTAAGAAACTCAACCAGATGTGACACCTACCTCTCATAAGCCTTTAAAACCTTGTATTTACTAATCTACCCTGGCTTCATTTTTTCCCTCTCTTTTTTTTCTACCCAATTTAATACTTTTCTGTATTAATCTTGTTGTATGTTTATATTGTTATCACAAGTTCTTTTTTTAGTGGTGGAATATAAATTTACAAATAAGAACTTAACCTTTTTCTGTGTAATTGTAAACTCTTGTTTATATTATTAACATTCCCTCAGTTTATATTCCTCTCTCGAAAAGCAAATTATGATGCCAGTATATTTGAAGTCATTAACATTGCCTCTACTGCCTATAGTTTCATTCTTTTTTTTTAAGTGCTTAGTAAATACACTCCGAGTATATAATTGTGTCCAAGAATGTATGCATTTGAAACATGTATAGCCTGTCATTTAAAATATCTGTACATAGTCTTTGTAAACCTCATCTGTGTGGCTGCATGATGTTTCAGAGATTGATGGTCCATGGTTTACTTACACATTCCTTTATTCTAGATTTTTATATTGTTTTTAGTGTGGTTATAGATAATGCTGCAGTAAACACCTTTTTGTGTAAAACTTCCTCCATTTTTACATTGTCCTTAGAATAGGTTTTTTAAAATGTATAATTTATATTAAAAATATAGTAACTGTATGTCTGAGGTTTTTTTTTTTTTTTTTTTTTTGAGACGGAGTCTCGCTCTGTCGCCCAGGCTGGAGTGCAGTGGCCGGATCTCCGCTCACTGCAAGCTCCGCCCCCTGGGTTTACGCCATTCTCCTGCCTCAGCCTCCCGAGTAGCTGGGACTACAGGCGCCCGCCGCCTTGCCCGGCTAGTTTTTTGTATTTTTTAGTAGAGACGGGGTTTCACCGTGTTCACCAGGATGGTCTCGATCTCCTGACCTCGTGATCCGCCCATCTCGGCCTCCCAAAGTGCTGGGATTACAGGCTTGAGCCACCGCGCCCGGCCATGTCTGAGGTTTTTATTGATTTTCTTTTTTTACTCAATTTTTTTATTGAAGTGGTGAATTTATATTTTACGTTATGAAAGAGTTGATCCTATGGTACGAAGACTTGCAAAAGAGCTGTAGGTAAGATTGTATCCTTTGATAATATGTAAGTAAGTGCAGTGACATTTAACACTCTCCCTTTTGTCTTTCCATAGCTGGATAGAACTTATACTGGCTTGCAGACTCTTGGAGCAGAGACGGTAGGTTTATTTCCCTACAGTATTATCTGGGAATGAGTAGGATGAAAGTTGATCTTCATTTTTGTTTGTTCATTTGTTTGTTTGTTTGTTTGTTTGTTTGTTTTTGAGGCGGAGTCTCGCTCTGTCGCCCAGGCTGGAGTGCAGTGGCCGGATCTCAGCTCACTGCAAGCTCCGCCTCCCGGGTTTACGCTATTCTCCTGCCTCAGCCTCCCGAGTAGCTGGGACTACAGGCGCTCGCCACCGCGCCCGGCTAGTTTTTTTGTATTTTTTTTTAGTAGAGACGGGGTTTCACCATGTTAGCCAGGATGGTCTCGATCTCCTGACCTCGTGATCCACCCGTCTCGGCCTCCCAAAGTGCTGGGATTACAGGCTTGAGCCACCACACCTGGCCTGTTTGTTTTGAGACGGTGTCTTCGCTCTGTCACCCAGGCTGGAGTACAGTGGCATGATCTCGGCTCACTGCAACCTCTGCCTCCCAGGATCAAGTGATTCTCCTACCTCAGCCTCCTGAGTAGCTGGGACTACAGGCACGTACCACCATGCCCGGCTAATTTTTCTATTTTTAGTAGAGACGGGGTTTCACCATGTGGGCCAGGCTGGTCTCGAACTCCTGACCTCTGGTGATCTGCCTGCCTTGGCTTCCCAAAGTGCTGAGATTATAGGTGTGTGCCACTACTTCTGGCTGATCTTCATTTTTAATTAGGGAAAAAATTAGTGTTCTTTTTGTTTTGTTTTGTTTTTTAACTTTATCTTTCTGTGTTAGTCCATTCTCACACTGTTATAAATAACTACCGAAGACTGGGTAATCTATGAAGAAAAAAGGTTTAATAGACTCATAGTTCCACAGGCTTACCAGGAAACATGTGGCTAGGGGGCCTCAGGAAACTTACAATCATGGTGGAAGGGCAAAGGGGAAGCAAACACCTTCTCATGGCAGCAAGAGAGAGAGCGTGAAGTGGGGTGTGCCACACACTTCAACCATCAGATCTCGTGAGAACTCACTATCATGAGAACAGCAAGGGGGAAATATGCCTCATTATTCAATCACCTCCCACCAGGCCCTTCCTCCAACACATGGGAATTACAATTTGAGATGAGATTTGGGTGGGGGCACAGCAAACCCTCCCCTCCTCTTCCCTTCCCTTTCCCCTTCTCCTTCTCCTCCCCTCCCGTTCCCCTCCTATTTTTTTGTTTTTTGAGAGGAAGTGATGCTCTGTTGCCCAGGCTGGAGTGCAGTGGCGCGATCTTGGCTCACTGCAACCTCTGCCTCCTGGGTTCAAGCTATTCTCCTGCCTCAGCCTCCCGAGTAGCTGGAACTACAAGCGCCCACCGCCACGCCCAGCTAATTTTTGTTTTCATAGTATAGACGGTTTCACTGTGTTGGTCAGGCTGCTCTTGATCTGCTGACTGCGCTCAAACTGCCTGACCTCAGGTGATCCACCCACCTCGGCCTCCCAAAGTGCTGGGATTACAGGCGTGAGCCACCGCACCAAGCTTTCTCCTTTTCTCTTTTCTTTTCTTTTCTTTTCTTTTCTTTCTTTCCTCTTCCTCTTCTTCCTCTTCCCTATCTCGTCTCGTCTCTTCTCTTCTCTTCTTTTTTCCTTTTCTTTTTCTCTTCTCTTTTTTCAGTTGAGACAGGGTCTCCGCTGGAGTACAGTAACATGGCTAACTGCAACCTTGAATTCCTAGACTCCAGTCATTCTCCCACCTCAGCCTCCCAAGTAGCTAGGACTGTACACCTGCACTACCAAGCCCAGCTAATGTTTACATTTTTTTATAGAGAGAGTGTCTTACTATGTTCATAGGCTGGTCTAGAATTCCTGGCTTCAAGCAATCCTCCCACCTCAGCATCCCAAAGCACTGGGATTACAGGCATGAGCCACTGCACCCAGCCTTGGTTCATATTTTTTTTTTTAAATTGTGGTTGAAAAACACGTAACACAAAATTTACTGTCTTATTCATTTTTCAGTGTACGGTCTAGTGGCATTAAGGGCATTCACATTATTGTGCAGCCGTGACCATAGTCCATCTTTAGAATTGTTTTCATCTTGCAGAGCTGAAACTCTGTACCCATTAAACGATGACTACCCACTGCTCCTGCCCCCCAGCACTGGCAACTGCTGCTCTGCTTTCTGTCTCTGTGAATCTGACTACTCTAGGGTACCTCATATAAGTGGAATCATACCGTATGTGTCCGTTTGGGATTGCCTTATTTCACTTTGCATAATGTCCTCAGATTTCATCCGTGTTGTAGCATGTGTCAGAATTTCCTTCCTTTTTTAAAATTTATTTTTATTTATTTATTTATTTATTTATTTATTTATTTATTTATGCTCTCTCACCCAGCCTGGAGTGCATTCATGACTCACTGCAGCTTTGAACTCCTGGGCTCAAGTAATCTGTCCTTAACCTGTCAGGTAGCTGGGACTATAGGCGTGTGCCACCATGACCAGCTAATTTATTTACTTACTTGTTTATTTTTTGTAGAGACCGGGTCTCACTGTGTTGTCTAGGCTTGTCTTGAACTCCTGGGCTCAAGCCATCCTCCTGCCTTGGCCCCCGAAAATGTTGGGATTATAGGCATGAGCCATTGTGCCCAGCCCCTCTTCCTGTTTTAGGCTGCATGATATTTGCATTGTATGTATAGACCACATTTTGTTTATCTGTTCATCTGTTGACGGACACTTGGGTTGCTTCCATCTTTTGGCTGTTGTTAATAGTGCTGCTATGAACGTAGGTGTACAGGTATCTATTCAAATCCTTGCTTTCAATTCTTTTGGGTATACACCCAGAAATGGAATTGGCTGGATCCTATGGTAATTCTATTTTTAAAGGAACCACTGCGATATTTTTCGTGGCGGCTGCACCATTTTACATTCCCACCAGCAGTGCACACGTATTCGAGTTTCTCCACGTCTTCACCAGCATTTGTTAATTTGTTTGTATTTTAATTTATGGTAGTTATTCTAATGGTTGTGACGTGGTATCTTGTGGTTTTGATCTGTGTTTCTCTAATCATTAGTGATGTTAAGGATCCCTTCACGTGCTTGGTGGCCATGTGTTTATCTTCTTTGGAGAAATGTCTATTCAAAGACGTTCAGAAAATGTCTTTGCCCTTTTTTTTTTGAGACAGAGTCTCGCTCTATCGCTCAGGCTGGAGTGCAGTGGTACGATCTCGGCTCACTGCAAGCTCCGCCTCCCGGGTTCACGCCATTCTCCTGCCTCAGCCTCCCGAGTAGTTGGGACTACAGGCGCCTGCCACCATGCCCAGCTAATTTTTTGTATTTTTATTGGAGACGGGGTTTCACGGTGTTAGCCAGGATGGTCTCGATCTCCTGACCTCGTGATCCGCCAGCCCTGGCCTCCCAAAGTGCTGGGATTACAGGCGTGAGCCACTGTGCCCGGCCTCTTTGCCCATTTTTTAATTAGGTGGTTTGGTTTTTGTTGTTGCTGGGTCACAGGAGTTGTTCATATATTCTGGATAGTAACCCCTTACCAGATAGATGATTTGCAAATATTTACTTCCATTCCATGATATATTTTTGCCTTTTCACTCTGTTGATTGTGTCTTTTGATGCACAGGAGTTTTTAAGTTGATGTCCCATTTGTCTGTTTTTTCTTTTGTTGCCTGTGCTTTTGGTGTCATACCCAATAAACCATTACCAAATTCAGTGTCATGAAGCTTTTCCCTTATATTTTCTTCTAAGAGTTTTATTGTTTTAGCTTTTATGTTTCATTCTTTGATCCCTTTTGGGTTAATTTTGGTATATAGTGTAAGGTAAGGGTCTAATTGCATTCTTTGGCATGTGGATATCCAGTTTTCCTAGCACCATTTGCTGAAAATACTGTCTTTTCCCCCACTGAATGGTCTTGCGACCCTTGTCAGAGATAATTTGACCATATATGTGAGGATTTATTCTATTCCATTGGTCTGTATGTCTGTCTTTGTGCCAGCAGCATACTGTTTTGATTACTTTAGCTTTGCAATAAATTTTGAAATCAGGAGTCTGAAACCTCCAACTTTGTTCTTCACCTTCTCCCCCTTTTTTTGTTTTCATGATATAATATCAGCAATAGCCATTTAATCAGAGTTCGCTAATTAAATCTTACTCTGTCTAGAGAAATCTGCTATATTATATCAGAGGGTACTTACTGAGACTGGTCCAGGTGCTGGGAATACAGAAATGAACACGGAAGCTTCTTCCTTCAAAGAGTCAAATTCTTAGCTGGGCATGATGGTGGGCACCTGTAGTCCCAGCTACTAGGGAGGCTGAGGCAGGAGAATGGCTTGAACCCGGGAGGTGGAGCTTGCAGTGAGCTGAGATAACACCACTGCACTCCAGCTTGGGCGACAGAGCGAGACTCCGTCTCAAAAAAAAAAATTTTCCATGAAGTTCTACTGACATTTTCTAAATGTGGCATTGAAAATGGGGAGGGTAGACAGTAAACACAGAAGCAAATAAAATTACTTCAGTTACAAATAAGTGCTGTGAAGATAAGAGTAGCTGGGGGATAAGGAAGTAGCTCATGCTTAGGTGATTAGGCATGGTCTCTCTGAGGTGGTGTACTTCATTGAGTCCTGCTGGTGAGAAAGGCAGCCATGCAAAGATTTGGAGCAATAGTGTTGTAAGGAGTAGCAACAGCAAAATCAAAAAGCCCCAATTTGTGAGTGATTTCACTGAGATTTGTATGTTAAACCAGATTAGATTTTCACTGAGGTATGTATGTATCTGTTAAGCCAGATTAGATTACCTTCTAGAATAAATCCTTTAGGTCCTCAGATTGAAATTGCCTTTGAAGTGTGATTAGAAGTTATCTCTCACATCTCTGAGATCACATTCTTAGACAGGACTTGAGCTTTCTGTGACCTTGATGATGGACTCATGAGCCTGATTGTTGCCCAATTGTCTAGGTAGTAGATGTTGAACTCCATCGCCATTCTCTGGGAGAAGACTGTATATATCCTCAGTCCTCGGAGTCTGATATCTCTGATGCCCCTCCATCTTTGCCTTTGACCATTCCAGCCCCAGTGAAAGCTTCTTCACCAATAAAGCAGTCACACGAGCCAGTACCCGATACCTCTGTGGAGAAAGGTAATACAGCAGTTTTCTTTGCATAGAGTTGTTCTGAGGCATTCATTCCTTTCCCATTTGCTGCTTTCGGAGACCTATAGTATATGGAAAATAACTTTGCCATAAACAGACCATGCTCCTTCTACTGCACAGTTCTGTTATGAAAGCCAAATCTCCACCCTTGTCAAAAATATTTTTCCGGCTGGGCTCGGTGGTTCACACCTGTAATCCCAGCACTTTGGGAGGCCAAGGCGGGCGGATCACGAGGTCAGGAGATTAAGATCATCCTGAGTAACACAGTGAAACCCCGTCTCTACTAAAAATACAAAAACTTAGCTAGGTGTGATGGCGGGCGCCTATATTCCCAGCTACTAGGGAGGCTGAGGCAGGAGAATGGCGTGAAGCCGGAAGGTGGAGCTTGCAGTGAGCTGAGATGGGACCACTGTGCTCCAGCCTGGGTGACAGAGCGAGACTCCATCTCAAAAAAAAAAAAAATTTCCATGAAGTTCTACTGATACTTTCTAAAATGTAAAAACCACTAAAAAAACATTAGATTTTTAAATTTATTTTATTTTATTTTGAGATGGAGTCTTGCTCTGTCACCCAGGCTGGAGTGCAGTGGTGTGATCTCACCTCACGGCAATCTCCATCTCCTGGATTCAAGCAATTCTCCTGCCTCAGCCTCCCTAGTAGCTAGGATTACAGGTGCCCACCACCGCGCTTGGCTAATTTTTGTATTTTTAGTAGAGATGGATTTTCACCATGTTGGCCAGACTGGTCTCGAACTCATGACCTCAGGCGATCCACCCACCTCAGCCTCCCAACGTGCTGGGATTACAGGCATGACCCATCACGTCTGGCCTAAAACAGATTTTTATCACTTGATAATTCCTTCTAACGTATTACAGGAGGACTTTATAGTTCAGCTTCTGATTGTGTGAGCAAGAAACTTGAATATTAAGTACCTGATTTTACTTAAAAAAAGATTCATCACCAACAGTGTATTTTGACCATGCCATTTTTAAATTTAACAAATATGTAAGTGTATATATATTTAAATGTGCCCATATATAAGCATAAATGATATAAAATTGATCTTAAATGTTTTATTTCTAAGCTTGTATTTTAAGCTTATATTTTAATGTGATGTTAGTATTATAAAATCTCAACTTTATTCCTCTTTAGATTTCAATTGCGTCTTTTTTATGGGCATTTATAAGATAGGAGAGGGCCTGGGCGTGGTGGCTCATGCCTGTAATTCCCAGCCTTTTGGAAGGCTGAGACTGGTGGATCACCTGAGGTCAGGAGCTCAAAACCAGCCTGCCCAACATGGTGAAACCCTGTCTCTACTAAAAATACAAAAATTAGCCAGACATGGTGGTGCATACCTGTAATCCCAGCTACTCAGGAGGCTGAGGGAGGCATGAGAATCGCTTGAACCTGGGAGGCGGCGGTTGCAGTGAGCGGAGATCACACCATTGCACTCTAGCCTGGGTGATGAGTGAAATGATGTCTCAAAAATAAATAAATAAATAAGATAGGAGGATATCATTCATTAGATTTCATGAATGCTTTCTTTTTAAGATTTTTTTCTTTAAACAGTTTTTCAGTTTATATATTAAAAAATGGAGGAACATAAGGACTTGTGTTCTTTTTATGTTATATATGGTTTATAGTTAATAATGTTTTCAAGTTTCTTTAAAACACTTTAAACATTATTCTAAGCATATATATTTTTCACCAAAAATATGAAGGGATAATTGATTGTATTTATTTTGCTACCAGTACATGGTTTAAAATGGGTGTTGAAATAATGCATTTTTATTCTTTTTCCACAATGGTAAGGTTTTATTTCAAAGCGATTGATGACTTGCCATTTGCCTTTCATCTCAAGCAGGATTCCCAGCTGGCACTGAAGTTGAACGACACGCTCCGTTTTATTCTTTGCCATCTTCATTGGAAAGAACACCCACCAAAATGACAACATCCCAGAAAGTTACCTTTTGTTCTCATGGCAATTCAGCTTTCCAGCCAATAGCATCAAGCTGCAAAATTGTGCCACAAAGTCAGGTTCCTAATCCCGAGTCACCTGGAAAGTCCTTCCAGCCCATCACCATGAGCTGCAAGATTGTGTCAGGTATGCAGATGTGTGGAAGACAGTGTATGTGGAGTTGACTGGATGTTAAAATTGTTGGAACAACAAAACAAAATACTGTGGCTTTTTTTCTCTCAAGTTTTTCTAAGCAGTGTTTCTTTAACAAAAGGAAGTCTATCGCTGTTGATTGCAAAACTGTCACAAGGCAAAAACAAAGCTCATTCATATGGAAATGAATGGAGGAAATAAATGAAACTGAAATGGTCAAATTTTTGTCTCCTAGAATCACCAGAGGTAAAATGTTTGCTAGCAAATATGGCTGAAACTACAGTGTAGGAATCGTGTTTGGGGATTATATACATGGAAACCACAGTGACTAGTAATAGAAAAAGTTTAGAGGCCTTTGGCGTGGAGTTAAGCTTTAAGGGTTAGAATTAGGTGGGAATTGAAATGCTTTATTCTTTCTGTAACCACATTAGAAAATTACTCATTCCTGTTGTCAGTAGGTAGTTCCGAGTTGTCTTTTTCACTAAGGTTGGATTATCCTTTGTCTTGTGACAGTTTCACATTATGTTAAGTAAAATTTAGTAGGAATATATACTTTATGATTTTGACTGTTCCACCTTAGAACAAAACATATTTGTTAAAAAGCAATTGAAAATATCCAGGAAGTGTGAGGACTTCTGTACAATACTTAAATGAAGGGGGGAAAAGGGAATGTTTGGTGTTATAAGTAGACAGCTAAGCAGAAATATGATCCAAATCTTTGAAATTGATGAGAGATAAATAGCTTCTAATTGGTAGGCAATTTTTTTTGTTTTTGTTTTTGTTTTTTTTTTTGAGATGGAATTTCACTCTTGTCACCCAGGCTGGAGTGCAATGGCACAATCTTGGCTCACTGCAACCTCCGCCTCTCGGGTTCAAGCGATTCCCCTACCTCAGCCTCCTGAGTTGCTGGGACTACAGGCACACACCACCACTCCCGGCTAATTTTGTATTTTTAGTAGAGATGGGGTTTCACCATATTGGCCAGGCTGGTCTTGAATTCCTGACCTCAGTGGATCCACCCACCTCGGCCTCCCAAAGTGCTGGGATTACAGGTGGGAGCCACCGCTCCCTGCCATTGGTAGGCAATGTTACCTACCAGGTAGGAAAATTTTGGAATTTACTACTTCAGAGGTAGAATAGGCCAAACATATAAATTGATTTGAAGTTTAGAGAAGTTCATGGGTGATAAGTTTGATCAATAAAAGACAGTAGAGGATGTTTAACTGTCAGTAACTTTTGAGAGTATTTTGCGGGAACACAAATCTTTCTGGATTATGACTGTGGCATAGTATTGACAGAGACTTTTGCTCTGGGTAGGTGAATTTCATATTTTCCTATTCAAAACAAGACACAAGTTTCTTAAATCTAGCTATTTACTTACTAATGTCCTTCCTTCCTTCCTCCCTCTCTTCCTCCCTCCCTTCCTTCCCTCCCTCCCTTTTCTCTTTCTTTCCTCTTTCTTTCTTGTTGCCCAGGCTGGAGGGCAATGGTGTGATTTCGCCTCACTGTAACCTCCGCCACCCGGGTTCAAGGGATTCTCCTGCCTCAACCTCCCGAGTAGCTGGGATTACTGGCATGCGCTACCACACACAGCTAATTTTGTATTTTTAGTAGAGACAGTGTTTCTCCATGTTAGTCAAGCTGGTCTTGGACTCACAGCCTCAGGTGATCCACCCACCTCGGCCTCCCAAAGTGCTGGGATTACTGGCATGAGCCACCGCGCCTGGCACTTACTAATTTTCTCCCTAATTTTAGTGTCTTCAGGTATAACCAGTACTATAACAGCCTGCCTGTGGTGTTAAAAGATTTATCATATCAAGATTCAGCAGTTAAAAAAAAGATTCAGCAGTTTTGCATTGCTGTGTAAAGCACTGCTTTCTCAACTGTAATGTGCATACCAGGAGATCTTGTTGAAGTGCAGATTTATGTTCAGTCGGTCAAGGATGGGACCATAAAATCTGTTTCTTACAGTTTCCTCAGTGATGCTGATGCTGTTGGTCCAAGGATAAGGATGCAGAGCATGCAGCATACATCCTCTGCCTCCCCTATACCCCTGTTGCTGCTCAGTACTGGGAGCATGCAGTTCCATTTTATTTTCCCAGTGTGTTACCTTTGTCCTGGTGGCACTGACCTTCTTCCTTGTCCTCGACATCTTACATGAGTTGAATATGTGTATTTTGTTTCTGTTCTCCCTTTTTAATTAATAAGGTTCCCCAATATCAACTCCAAGCCCATCACCATTGCCTCGAACCCCGACTTCCACTCCAGTTCACGTGAAGCAAGGCACTACCGGCTCTGTTATTAATAATCCTTATGTTATCATGGACAAGCAGTCGGGGCAGATGATTGGAGCCAGCACTCCCAGTACAGGTGTGTATGTGATCAATATTTGTACAATCCAAAGGGTTTGATCTTTTTATTTTATTTTATTTTTTTTTTGAGACGGAGTCTCGCTCTGTCGCCCAGGCTGGAGTGCAGTGGCCGGATCTCAGCTCACTGCAAGCTCCGCCTCCCGGATTTACGCCATTCTCCTGCCTCAGCCTCCCGAGTAGCTGGGACTACAGGCGCCCGCCACCTCACCCGGCTAGTTTTTTGTATTTTTTAGTAGAGACGGGGTTTCACCGTGTTAGCCAGGATGGTCTCGATCTCCTGACCTCGTGATCCGCCCGCCTCGGCCTCCCAAAGTGCTGGGATTACAGGCTTGAGCCACCGCGCCCGGCCTGATCTTTTATTAAAAACGTAATCCTGCCGTTACTTGGTAGCCATGTAATTGGAGAATGAAATCTCCTGTAAACGAGAAGCGAGAATACATAAAAGGAAAGCCAATACTGTTTCTCTGAGGGGAGATTTACTCTGTAAAAGGTGCATTTTTTAGAATTTACTTGAGTTTTCTTTTAATTTCTAAAAATTCAAAATAAGCCGTAATTAATGTTCTTAAAAGAACAGTTGATTTTGTTTTCATTTGGAAGACTTACTCTTTGGGGGACTATAAGCAATGTGGTTACTACCTCTTCCAAAGAAGCTTTTGCTAACATTGTGGGCCACATACATTTCTCCCCAGTCAAATAAAAAAGTGATACTATTTTCTTCAGAGAAGACCCATTCTGGTTGTGGGAGGAGAAATTGAAACCTTCAGTTTTAAAGAGAACTCTAATAGGAAGAAGTCATCTTTGGATTCACCGTGTTCCTCATTATAATCCATGCAGCTGTATCATGCTTTTTAGGTTTTTTTGAAATGCTTTCCCTAACATTATTTTATTTATTCCCTTCAGTTAGCCTATATTTATTATTAATTAATTTATTTGTTTATTGAGACAGACTATTGCTCTTTCACCCAGGCTGGAGTGCAGTGGTGTGATCTCGGCTCACTGCAGCCTCCACCTCCCAGGTTTAAGCGATTCTCCTGCCTCAGCCTCCCATGTAGCTGGAATTACAGGCGTGTGCCACAACGCCCAGCTAATTTTTGTATTTTTAGTAGAGACAGGGTTTCACCATGTTGGCCAGGCTGGTATCAAACTCCAATCCACCCACCTCAACCTCCCAGAGTGCTGGATTTACAGGCGTGAGCCACCGCGCCCAGCCCCGTTCAACCTGTATTTAAACACAAGCTCCTAACTATAAGCTTCCGTGTAGCTTTCACTTCTAATTAAGAATGGAAGACAAATGAAATAAAAGGGACAATTATAAGATAATGAGACTGATTTTTTTTGTTGTTGTTTGTTTAACCTATTGGATTTGACACATGAATGTATGTTGGGCTTTTCCAAGCAGTTTTTGTTTTTGGAAAGGCTAAACTTTAATAATGATTATAATTGTGGAATGCCCTTAAAAATTACTATGTTCAAGGCTTACCCAGTATCTTTTGAACGTACTTAGGGATGCCAAATAGGTATTATTTCATGACATTTGGTTTTAGGAATCAGCCAGAAGTCTTTGGAGGCAAGTTTGGTAAGTGGAGTAAATGATTAAATACTATTTGGGGTCTTGTTGACTATAGATAATATGACTAAATTTTTTTCGGACCCTAAAGGCAGTTGTACAAATGGAGTATAAAATGTTTAATGTTGGCCAGGCGCGGTGGCTCATGCCCATAATCCCAGCACTTTGGGAGGCCAAGGTGGGCGGATCACCTGAGGTCAGGAGTTTGAGGCCAGCCTGGCCAACATAGCAAAACCCGTCTCTACTAAAAATACAAAAATGAGCCAGGTGTGGTGGCGTGCACCTGTCATCCCAGCTACTGAGGAGGCTGCGGTGGGAGAATCACTTGAACCCAGTAGGTGGAGGTTGCAGTGAGCCAAGGTCAGACCATTATACTCCAATCCAGGTGACAGAGCGAGACTTCGTCGCATGAAAAAAAAAAAATAAGAATAATAATAATGTTGGCAGCATTTTAGAATAGGCGTAACTTTCTGGTGAAACTACTTTGAAGGAGCTAGCAGAATGCATGTATTCTGGCACATTTGTTAAACAGTATCATTATGTTATAGTATCTTTCATTGTATAAGGAGTAGAGCATAGAAATAGAATACTTTATAGTGTCTTTTATTGTATAAGGAGTAGAATATACAAGAATATGCTACTCTTTATTGTACAAGGAGTAGTCTAAAACAAGTTACTTTACTACTTATTCTTCTGCATGTCCTTACCAGCTTCTTACCTTCTTCAGGTTGAGCATGAGATCAGCTTCACGGGGATGGGTCCTTAAGGGTTTTTTTCCATGCTAGTTTCAGCCTTAACAATGACTTTTCAACCCTTAAAAATGAAAAATAAATAGTGGGAAAGAGGGGAGGATGGTGGAAATGCTTTAAAATTACATTTTGTAAATTTTACTTTGTTTATATTTTACTTTTAATTGTGCCTTGCTTCTCAGGAAGTCCTACAAACAAGATCTCCACGGCTTCTCAGGTCTCCCAAGGAACAGGTTCCCCTGTTCCTAAAATTCATGGAAGTAGTTTTGTAACATCTGCTGTCAAGGTAACGTTCTTACTGTGTTATTACACTTTGCCAGCTTCTTTTTCTTTTCATTTTTAAAAAATAATTTTTCAAATGGAGATGGGGGCTCCCTGTATTAACCAAGCTGTACTGAACTCCTGGCCTCAAGAGATCTCCCACCTGGCCTACCAACGTACTGCAGTTGCAGGCATGAGCTGCACCCAGCCACTTTGCCGGTTTCTGAACATAGTATGTTCAGCCTCAGCAAGAAGGTGTCAGTTGATGATGCAAATTTCATAAAATGGAATCTTCAAGCTGTTAGGTGTCTAGACTTTACTACCTCCAGACTTTTTTTTTTTTTTTTTTGAGACGGATCTCGTCTGTCGCCCTGGGCCGGAGCTGCGAGTGGCAGGATCCTCAGCTCACTGCAAGACTCGCCGCTCCTAAGTTTTACGCATGGCGTGCTCTGGCGCTCAGCTCGCCGAGTAGCTGGACTACAGGCGGCCACCGCCTCGGCCCAGCTAAGTTTTTTGTATTTTTTAGTAGAGACGGGGTTTCACTGTGTTAGCCAGGGTGGTCTCGATCTCCTGACCTCGTGATCCACCTGTCTTGGCCTCCCAAAGTGCTGGGATTACAGGCTTGAGCCACCGCACCCGGCCTTACTACCTCCAGACTTTACTACCCACTTGGATCTTTTCATAGTGTCAAAAATGCTTCACAGCACCTGTGTCAAATAGTCACCCAGTATCAATTTGAAAACTTACTGTGGTAAGATTATTCATTTTCTTATTTATTTGAATAGTTTGTTAAAAATATTTCCTTATAAAAATATTCATCTGACCTCTTCCCTTTTGGACACCTCTTTCTCTTGCAACAGAGCTGCTGTCCGCTCCCCTTTCTTTTGCTTCTTAAACTTTCCACTCCTTAACCCATAAAAAAAAAATTTAAAAATATAAAAACATTCATTTGACAGCACATTCCTGTCTTTTCTGTATTTGCACCACCAAGAAGTAAATATACAAATGGCTCCCAGCTTACAGTGGTCCAACTTACAATGTTTTGACTTTACCCTAGTGCAAAAGCAATATGCATTTAGTGAGCCCTCAGCTTACGCTGGGGTTATATTCAGATAAACCCACCATACGGTGAAAATGTGGGAAGTCAAAAATGCACTTTTGGCCGATGATGTTTTCCCCTTATGATGGGTTTATCCAGACATAACCCCATCCTAAGTTGGGGCGCATCAGTGTTTCCTTTTCCGTGTGTTAACCTTTTACCTCCACAGAGTCTCTCCCTTGCTCCCCTTTTTCTGGGTAAGCAATCCTTTAAAATTTACAACTCCAAATATGATCGGACCTGTTCCAGTCAAATGACTAGTGCCTGACACAGCATTTCTTTGATTTAGATGCTAATGATGATACTGAATGATTTTCTGCTCCAAGGCGAGGCAGTTCTCTAAATTCTGTGCAGTGTGTTGGCACTGTTATATGAATGTCTGAATTACAGTAATCTTGAAACTCTTAACTCTGCTGGTTTAATTTTTATTGTTTCTTGGTGATCATTTTACTCTACAGCCTTCAAGAAGTGTTCTTTGTTTCTGAATTTTGACAGATTGCCTCTGAGATTTGCATTTTGTGTTTGAGAATTAAAGAGAAACTACGGAAGTTTTGAATGTTGACTTTTGTTGTCTTTGCCTGTGCCAAATTATTCAAGTTTTTTTTTGTTGTTTTTTAAGTTTTTATTGAAAAATTTTCCTTTGTATTCTAGGTGTTCATTGAGTAAATTTTACAAATCAATTGTGAGTACTATTAAAAGAGAGTATTTACTGAAACATTGCAGCTGCCCGCTTCTTTCATTTCTTTATTTAGTACCTAGGCTCCAGGGATATAAAATAAACTAAATACAGTCCCTGTCCTTTAGTGGTTTACCAACTATCAGGGAAGACCAATAAAGTCAACCAAATATTAGGGGTAGTAAGTTAGAAGTCTTTCCAGCGTACAGCAGGACACAGATGAGTAGATTGTTTCCAAGTTACAGCTTTTCTTTGCATTTGGTTTCTAAAGCAATGTTAAAATGCAGGTGTAGAGGCTTGGAAGACCCCAGGGAGTTTTAGGTTGTTTTGTCTTTTGTTTCTTTTCTTTTTTTTTTTTTTTTGAGGTGGAGTTTTGCTCTTGTCGCCCAGGCTGGAGTGCAGTGGCGTGATCTTAGCTCACCACAACCTCCGCCTCCCGGGTTCAAGCGATTCTCCTACCTCAGCCTTCCAAGTAGCTGGGACTACAGGCATGCGCCGCCACACCCTGCTAATTTTTGTATTTTTAGTAGAGACGGAGTTTCTCCATGTTGGTCAGGCTAGTCTTGAACTCCCAACCTCAGGTGATCCACCTGCCTCGGCCTCCCAAAGTTCTGGGATTACAGGCGTGAGCCACAGCACCCAGTCTTTTGTTTCTTTATATTGCTAGAGAATGTCACAGGTTTGTATTAAATACAAGTGACTAGATGATCTGAAATCACCCATTTATCCTGATTGTAAAATATGTATTTTTACACACACAGCAGGAGGATTCTTTGTTTGCATCTATGCCACCTCTTTGCCCAATTGGGAGTCACCCTAAGGTTCAAAGCCCCAAACCTATAACAGGAGGACTTGGAGCTTTCACAAAAGTAAGTATGTATTAGGACATTATCCCAGGAGTCATAGTACTTCCTGTGGCATGTTGGAGTTGATTGACACCACCCCTACAACATGTTACTTTTTTTTTTTGAGACGGAGTCTCACTTTGTCACCCAGGCTGGAGTGCAGTGACACGGCGTCAGCTCACTGCAACCTCCACCTCCTGGGTTCAAGCGATTCTTCTGCCTCAGTCTCCCGAGCAGCTGGGATTACAGGCACGCACCACCGCGCCCTGCTAATTTTGTATTTTTAGTGGAGACGGGATTTCACCATGTTGGTCAGGCTGGTCTCGAACTCCTGAGCTTGTGATCCTCCCACCTCGAACTCACAAAGTGCTGGGATTACAGGCATGAGCCACCTCGCCTGGCCTATCAACGTGTTACTTTTTAGTAGGTCTCAGCTTCTCATTCTGAGATGTGCTTCTATGTATTTAATGATGTCCTCAGGGCAGCCCTTGGAGTCCAGCAAGATGGGAATTCATGGAGCACAAACAGTGTATGTGTTTCTCTCTGCTGTCATTTGCCACAGTCTCTAAAACAAGTAACTGTGTTATTACAGGAGCACAGAATCAAGTTCAGATCCTACTATTGGTCCCTTTAATAGCTGGTATGGACTGTGTTTAAGTAGTATGTGTATTTACCCTTCTGGTGGAGTCATTCTTTACAGATCAAGTTTCATCAATTCATTAATTCCTGCAAACAGAAAAGATTCATATATTAGCAGCTTTATAAAATGGGATGTCTATGGATGTTTATTCAGTGTCATTATCATGTTTGTTGCAAGGTGATCATCAAACAGGAACCTGGTGAAGCACCTCACGTGCCCGCGACAGGAGCTGCCAGCCAGTCACCACTCCCGCAGTATGTGACTGTGAAAGGGGGTCACATGATAGCTGTGTCCCCTCAGAAACAGGTCATAACTACTGGAGAAGGGATTGCCCAGTCAACAAAGGTTCAGCCCTCCAAGGTTTGTGTTGGGTAGAGGTGGGAAAGTTCACATATAATTGACGATGTTTGCCTAAATAATTGACAGGTGCTGAAAAGATTCAGGGTGTCAGGGTTGCTGATCCCGTAAGAACCTGTGGGTGAAAGCCCAGCTGGAAAAACAAGTCCATTGGTGTGAAACTCTTCTACTTCTGTAGTAATCATTGGCAAGAGCTGGGTTATGTATTACAAAGGATGCAGGAATGGTCCAAGAGGCAGGGGAACACTGCTGTCTCTGGCAGTGAAGGCAACTGACTCATGGACACAACTTTCTACTTGATTCATCTCTAAAAGGGATCGGCTGTTGACCTGTTTATTTCTGATAGGAGAATGCTGTAGTTTATACCTCTGATGTTTGGGCTGTTATCTGTTTAATGATTCTTAGCTTTTTGTAGAGTTCATTTTTTTTATAATTTAGAGGTATGGGAGAATTAATGTATTGAGAGAATTTTAAAATAGCACATCGAGGCCGGGCATGGTCACTCATGCCTATAATCCCAGCACTTTGGGAGGACGAGGCAGGCAGATTACCTGAGGTCAGGAGTTTGAGACCAGCCTGACCAACATGGAGAAACCCCATCTCTACTAAAAATACAAAATTAGCTGGGCATGGTGGCCCGTGCCTGTAATCTCAGCTGCTCAGGAGGCTGAAGCAGGAGAATCACTTGAACCTGGGAGACAGAGGTTGTGGTGGGCTGAGATCGCACCACCACACTCCAACCTGGGTGACAGCGAGACTCTGTCTCAAAAAAATAGAAAATAAAAAAATGAAATAGCACATAGAGCCATGTTTTCCTCAATCAGTTGAAATGTAGCCATGCATCACCTAATCATCATTCTGAGGTGCATTCTGAGACATGTGTCATTAGGTGATTTTGTTGTGTGAACATCACAGTGTACTTAAATCTAGATAGAATAACTAACTACACACCTAGGTTGTATGGTGTAGCCTATTGCTCGTAGGCTGTAAACCTGTTCGGCATGTTACTATTGAATACTATAGGAAGTTGTAATAGGACAATAAGTATCTGTGGATCTCAACATATCTAACAAAGAAAGGGTACTGTAAAAATACACTGTTACAATCTTATGGGACCACTGTTACATAGGCAGTCTGTCATTGACTAAAACATCGTCAGTGTGGTAGATGACTGTGGAATCAATATTGAGTGCTTTTGTATGCTTTGCTTGTATTTATACATTATCTATAATCCACACACAACCCTGGAGGGTGGGGATTTTCACCCCTGTTTTACAAATGAGGAAACTGTGGCTCAGAGTTTGAACAGCTTCCTTGGAGCATTATAGCTAATAAATGACAAAGTGTTTAAACTCAGGCCTGCTAACTCCAAGTTCCCCATTCCAGAACTAATGAAAAGTAGTTGTCTCTAACCTCAGTATGCTTTTAGAATATCGGGGTTAAATTATCTCAACCTTTGGCGGGTATACTCTAAAACTATTAAGATATGGGCTGGGCACGGTGGCTCACACGTGTGAGCCACCCATCACTTTGGGAGTCTGAGGCAGGCGGATCACTTGAGGTCAGGAGTTTGAGACCAGCCTGTCCAATGTGAAACCTCGTCTCTACTAAAAATACAAAAGCCGAGTGTGGTGGGTGGCGTGCACCTGTAATCCCAGCTACTTGGGAGGCTGAAGCAGGAGAATCACTTGAACCCAGGAGGAGGAGGTTGCAGTGAGCCAAGATTGTGCCACTGCTTTTCAGCCTGGGTGACAGAGGGATACTGTCTCAAAATCAAAAAACAATGGTCGGACGTGGTGGCTCATGCCTGTAATCCCAGCACTTTGAGAGACCGAGGCATGCGGATCACCTGAGGTCAGACGTTGAAGACCAGCCAGGTCAACATGTTGAAACTCTGTCCCTACTAAAAATACAAGAATTAGCTGGGCATGGTGGCGGGCTCCTGTAATCCCAACTACTCAGGAGGCTGAGGCAGGAGAATTGCTTGAACGCGGGAGGTAGAAATTGCAGTGAGCCGAGATCGCAGCATTGCCCTCCAGCCTGGGCAACAAGAGTGAAACTCTGTCTCCAAAAAAAAAAAAAGATTATTATATAGATGTTTTTCAGCTTGAAACCCAGCCTACCTGTCTAAGGAAAATGAATTGTTTTGAGAAGAATCCCCCAAAATAGACAAAGATTTTAGATATTAGGTAGAGATTAGGATCAAGTTAAAAATTCGTAGTGAGGGCTGGTCGCAGTGGCTCACGCCTATAATTCCAGCACTTTGGGAGGTCAAGGTGGGTGGATCGCCTGAGGTCAGGAGTTCAAGACCAGTCTGGCCAACATAGTGAACCCCGTCTCTACTAAAAATATAAAAAATTAGCTAGGCGTGGTGCTGGGTGACTGTAACCCCAGCACTTAGGAAGTTGAGGCAGGAGAATCGCTTGAACCCAGCAGGCAGAGGTTGCAGTGAGACGAGATCTTGCCATTGCACTCCAGTTTGGGCAACAAGAGCAAAACTCCATCTCAAAAAAAAAAAAAAAATTCATAGTGTTATCGGTGGTTCTAAAATCTGTAAGTTTATTAACTACTTTCTCAGACTTGCCTGGTTATAAGAATCATCTGCTTATAGCTACCTAGGCCACCATCTCAAACTTAACGAATCAGAATCTTCTTGAGATCCCTGGGAATCTGGGTTTTTAATTTTAATAAGTGTCCCTGCTGATTCATCTGCTTAGGCAGCAGATTTAGGAATCATGATGCTACAGCATCACGTTTGATTTTGAGGCATTTATAGCCAGAATGACTAAGACAGGCATCCCCAGCTGCTTCCTAGTGCTCCCACTGTGGTTCTGGCTTCAGGGGTAAGAAATCTGCCAAAATCCCTTAGTAAATCAGTTATTGTCATCTGAACTTCCTGTTCAGGCTTGTCTTATATGTATCTCAAAATCTGTTTTGCTTCACGTAGGGATATATGGTTTTACCGATTTCTGCTTTGAATCTACTTAGCATTTCTGTTTATGTTAGAAGCTCTTGGATAAGTTAGTTTCCATTTTTTGCACTTTGCATATCGCCAGTCCACTCCTCCAGTGATGCTGAGCAACTGTACTGACGGGTCACATGGCCACCTACTTAATGGTAAATGTAAGGTTGGAGGAAATAGTTGGGTGTGTGCCAGAATGGCCTAAATATAGTTTAAGGGCATCTGAAAAGAAAAACCACAGCAAAGTGTGAAAGAACTGCAGAGAAGCAGTAGGGCATGAGATGATACCACTGTTTATCCAGGAAATGGAATCCATGATTAGCAGTTGAGATAAGGAGCTGTCTGTAAGTACAGACTGTTCCTGGTTATTGCCAAAGTGCATTCCTAGAAACTATGCCAGAGAACAGGCTGGGTGTGTGGTTCATGCCTGTAATTCCAGCACTTCGGGGGGCCGAGGTGGGCAGATCACCTGAGGTCAGGAGGTCGAGACCAGCCTGGCCAACATGGTGAAACCCTGTCTCTACTAAAAATACAAAAATTAGCTGGGCGTGGTGGCGTGTCCCTGTAATCCCAGCTACTCAGGAGACTGAGGCAGGAGAATCGCTTGAACCTGGGAGATCAAGGTTGCAGTGAACCGAGATCACGCCACTGTACTCCAGCCTGGGAGACAGCAAGAATCCGTCCTTAAAAAAAAAAAAAAAAATAGTATACCAGGAAATAGGAGGGTGGCAAAAAATGGCACTGTTTTGCCCTCCATGCTACTTTGGGACAACAGAAACACAGCTGATCTTTTTCCTGAAAGTGGGAAGGGGTGCTGCCTTTGCCATGAAAAGGGACAACTGAGGAATAAGTAGTTCCGTATTGGAAGGAAGCAGTGTGTTAAAGTAAAAGCAGCATGAGCTTTGCAGTTAGAGCTTGTTGCAAATCTCAGATCTCAGCCACTCATTACTAGTATAACCTGTGCAGGTTCTGAGCCCTGGTCTTTCAGGGTTGTAGAATTAGAGATTGTATATGAAGGACCTACCTAGCACAGCGCAGGTGCTCAGTAAATAGTAACTAATGTGAGTATCAGGGGTATCCATGCCTAAGTACCATGGTAGAGGTTATCAGTGAGCACTTAACTTGTAAACAGCCATATTTTTTAATATCTGGAGGGAAAATCTCAGATACAGACTCTTCCCCTTCGGTTTGCTGAAGTAAATTCTGACTTGCCAAAGGTATGTGTAGGAAACAGGGAGGGCAGAGATAAAAACATTTAATCAAAGCATGAATTGAAGTTAAGTGTATAGCAAATATAAAACAATGGGCGTCTGCTTTCTCAAGTTAGAAGGAAATTAGCAATAGAGGATTATTGAATGGGAAGAGAATGAGAAGAGTCGGTAGGTGAATTCAGGCTCTAGGCCGAAAGATGTCTTTTTGGTGGTTGTTGCTGTTGTGGGTTTTTTGTTTTGTTTTGTTTCGTGACCATAAGTCACCGTAGTCTCAGCCTCCCTGCGCTCCAGCAATCCCACCTCAGCCTCCCAGGACTACAGGTGACACCACCACACCCTATTAGGTTTTTTATTTTTGTTTTTTTCCCTATATTTTGTGGAGACTGGTTTTCACTATGTTGCCCAGGCTGGTCTTGAACTCCTGGGCTCAAGCAATCTGCCTGCCTCAGCCTCCCAAAGTGTTGGGGTTATAAGCATGAGCCACTGTACCTGGCCAAAGTACGTTGTTTAAAAAAACTAACAAACTAATGTTAGGTAATACTGTCTTATTTAAGAGCCCTTACACCTTCTTAGTGGTGTCCATAATCAGGTGCAGAGTTTTTCCCAGCAGAATGCAGACTTCTTAGTTCTCCTGTTTTCCAGAAGGAAGATAGGATGGTGGTGGTGGCCATCTCCCAGGCGGTGTGCACATTGTGGATAAGCTCTGCTAGTAAAGACTGCCCTCCAGTGGCTGACTTGGGATACCAGGTTTCTTTTTGAGGCAGTCTCACTCTGTCGCCCAGGCTGGAGTGCAGTGGTGCAGTCTTGACTCACTGCAACCTCTGCCTCCTGGGCTCAAGCTGTACTCCTACTTCAGCCTCCGCGGTAGCTGGGACCGCAGGCCCGTGCCACCACGCCCAGCTAATTTTTTTCTTTTTTTTTTTTTTGAGCTGGAGTCTCGCACCGTCGCCTGGGCTGGAGAGCAGTGGCGTGATCTTGGCTCACTGCAGCCTCTGCCTTTTGGGTTCAAGCAATTCTCCTGCCTCAGCCTCCCAGGTACCTGGGATTATAGGCGCCTACCACCACGCCCAGCTAATTTTTTTGTATTTTTAGTAGAGACAGAGTTTCACCATGTTGGCCAGGCTGGTCTCGAACTCCTGACTTTGTGATCCGCCTGCCTTGGCCTCCTAAAATGCTAGGATTACAAGCATGAGCCACTGCGCCTGGCCATTTTTTTGTATTTTTTAATAGAGACTGGGTTTCACCATGTTCGTCAGGCTGGTCTCCAACTCCTGACCTCTAATGATCCACCCGCCTCGGCCTCCCAAAGTGCTGGGATTACAGGTGTGAGCCACCATGTCCAGCAGGATACCAGGTTTTACCAGGCTCTTGGAGAAATTGTGTGTCATATCCTGAAAACTTTGAAGCAGTTGGCATAAGAAGGGAAAAGCAAGTCGGGTGCATGTAATTTGAGGAAAGAAATTGAAGTAGGTCTAAAATGTGTGTATTGTTTTCCTTAAGTTCTTTCTTTGTTAGTTTAGGAACATAAAAGATTCTGTGTAATTTAACTTGTGAAATAGGTTATTAAGTTTGATATGTTTAGGAGGTATGAAGACTGCTATCTTAGTTAAGAGAAAAGTTCAGCTACTACAGCAGAGAAACCTGAACACCAGAACCTTAAGTAAGTTTATTTCTCTCACCCAGTCGTCAAGAATCTAGATTCCTCCTGCCTTTCCTTTTTTGCTCTGCCATTCTCAAAATTTGACTTTCAGCTTGTGGACTAAGAAAACACTTCATCTCATGCCTCCACGTTCACACTTCTTGCCAGAAGGAAGGGAGCAGGGGGAGAACTGAGGGCAGACACAGCCCGAAAGTTGCACTCACTTCTGCACACATCCCGTTAGCCAGAAACCAGACGGCCACTCCTAGGTCCGGGAGGGCTGGGAAATAAGAGTTGTGATTCCATGGCCATTCCCCCAGCTGAAAACTGGGAGCTCTGTTACATGAGAGGAGAAGGAAATAATAGATATTGGGGTTCAACTAGCAGTTTCTGCCACACCCCCAAAAAGTTTTGCTACATTAAGGTTTTTTTTTTTCTTTTGTAAATATACAGAAAAGTTCTTTATCAGTAAGAAGGGTTTCCATATTTCCACATCACTAGGAGGATGACCTTGCCCTGCTCTGTGGCTACAGAAACTCTACAGGTCCCTGCAGAATGAAGTTCATGCAGTTAGAACAGAGATGTAGGCCAGGTGTGGTGGCTCATGCCTGTAATCCCAGCACTTTGGGAGGCCGAGGAGGACAGATCACCTGAGGTCAGGGGTTCGAGATCAGCCTGGCCAACATGGAGAAACCCCATCTCTACTAAAAATACAAAATTAGCCAGGAGGGGTGGCGCATGCCCATAATCCCAGCTGCTCGGGAAGCTAAGGCAGGAGAATTGCTTGAATTCAGGAGGCGGAGGTTGCCGTGAGCCAAGATCGCGCCACTGCACTCCAACCTGGGCAACAAGAGCAATACTCTGTCTCAAAAAAAACAAAAACAGAGATGTAGATGTGGGTAATAAGGGATGTTTCAACCAAACCAGGAGAGCCGGGGGGAATTTGTCTTCATTCTAGGTTAACTTGCTTTTGAAAATTGGTTATTTTATTTTGTTTCTTCTTTCCTTCCCTCCTTTCTTAAACATACAGAAAAGTAGAGAGAATATTGTGATGAATCCCACTTGCCTATTACCCAGTTTCAACAGTTAACAGCATTTTACTCATCTTAATTTCTCTTCCTGGAATATTGTAAAGCAGCAGGCAGATCCCAGTGTTGTATAATACACTCAAGATTAATTTCTGTTTCACCCGCTGAATCCAGAGGTTGAGATCGAGGTCTCTGCCTTGGCCAAATGCGGAAGACAGCCACAAATGTCTGTCCTTTGGCTGTCCTTTGCTGGTCTCCACGTCCCCTTGTGGATTATTATTCTTTAGTTGAAGTGTTGTTATGAACAACAACAGCTGTCTTGTTAGCTAGGCATCCTATTAACTTGTTCTCATTTTGCTTCTGATTTGGGGGGTAAATGTTATCCATATCCATATCCATATTATAGATGAGGAGGCTGATGCTAAAACTCAGAGAGGTTAAATCACTTACCTAGCTACTAACTAATAATAACTAACCTGGGAAACCAGATCTGTCTGCTTACCGAAAACTACACTGTTTCCTCTTTGTGACACTGTGGTTTATAATACTTGATTAAGGTACTGTTTTCTTTTTTTTTTTTCTGAGACAAAGTCTTGCTCTGTCACCAGGCTGGAGTGCAGTGGCACGATCTCAGTTCACTGCAACCTCTGCCTCCTGGGTTCAAGCGATTCTCCTGCCTCAGCCTCCCGAGTAGCTGGGGCTACAGGCGCCCACCACCTCGCCTAGCTAATTCCTTGTAATTTTAGTAGAGATGAGGTTTCGCCATGTTGGCCGAGACAATCTCGATCTCTTGACCTTGTGATCCACCCGCCTCAGCCTCTTAAAGTGTTGGGATTACAGGCATGAGCCACCGCGCCTGGTCAAGGGACTGTTTTCTTTACATCAGCTGTATTATTCGAGTACATGGTAAATGTATTTTACTGTACTCACAGTCTTTGAACAGAAACCATGTACGATATAGTAATTTTTTATTTAAAACTTCCTACTTATCAGTTGCATATGGTTTATCATTTCATTCTACCTTCTGAATAACCTTATTTTAAAATTTAGAAATACTCTAAAATTCCAGCAACATAGGTAGAGAATTAAGTAATCAGTATGCCCATATCCTCCACCCCAAATTTACATATTCATGTTTACTTCAGATCTTTTTTCTCCAAATAAAACGTTTCTGATAAAGTTGAAGTCCACTTTGTTCTTCCCAGAGGCAGCAAGCACTGTCATGACTTTGATGTGTAGCCTTCTACTCCGTGCACTTCATTACATGAATACATGGTCATAGGAAACATAATGTTGTTTGTGTTTTGAAGGTTTACATAAAAGATATTTCTACTTACATTTTTCTGCAACTCCCTTTTCACTTTCTTATTCTTCCAGTCTGTTTATACTATTATATCCCTAATGTATATAGTTCTAATTCATTTATTTTTAGTATGACCTTTCATTGTCTGTCTTATGCCACAGTTTGTCCATTCCTCTATCTGTAGACGTTAAGAATGGTGTTGCATGCTGGAGACATTAAGGTTGCTGACAGCTTTTGGTAAAAATAACGCTGTGTTGGACATTGTTGTATACGTTCCCTTGAACACATGTCTGTTTCTCTAGGATATACACCTAAAAACAGAGTTCCTACTATATGGGGATATGTGAATTTTCCGTTTTAGCAGATAGGCCAGTACCTCTCTGGAATGGCTGTCCAAATTTATCTTCCTCCCAGCAGTGAGCAAAAATTCCTATTTTCCCCACAGCCTCTAGTAACTTCTTGGTGTTATCAGACTTTTAAGCTTTTTTTTTCCCCAATCTGATGGGTGATCCTGTTTGTCTTTTTTGCCTTAAGAAGGTAAATCATTTACATTTCTTCTAACCTTGTGGAAGTCTGTTCATCTAGTTTCTGGTGAGAAGTTCTTTTTATGAAATAAAGAGCTGAGGAGTGGAAAACACTGCTCCAATTTGCCATTCATTCAGTGTTTCCTTTAATTGAACATCCTATTGTTGACTTTGTTTTAAAAACACTCCTGAGTATTTTCTTAAAAGAATTCATTTTACTTTTGAAACTAGATACTTTTAATTTTCATTATTTGGGTACTGGGGTCTTTTTTTTTTTTAAACAGTTAAATATTATTATTATTATTATTTTTGAGACGGAGTCTTGCTCTGTCGCCCGGGCTGGAGTGCAGTGGTGGGATCTCAGCTCACTGCAAGTTCAGCCTCCCGGGTTCACGCCATTCTCCTGCCTCAACCTCCCCAGTAGCTGGGACCACAGGCGCCCGCCACCACACCTGGCTAATTTTTTATATTTTTAGTAGAGACAAAGTTTCACGTGTTAGCTAGGATGGTCTCGATCTCCTGACTTCATGATCCACCCACCTTAGCCTCCCAAAGTACTGGGATTACAGGCATGAACCACCGCACCTGGCCTAAGTATTATTCTTGCTTTTTTTTTTTTTTTTTCCTTAGACAGGGTCTTGCTCTGTCATCCAGGCTGGAGGGCAGTGGTATGATCACGGCTCACTGCAGCCTTGAACTCCTAGGCTCAAGGGATCCTCCCCTGCCTCAGCCTCCTGAATAGCTGGGACTACAGATGTATGCCACTGTACTGGCTGATTTTTTTTTTTTTTAGACAGAGTCTTACTCTGTCACCCAGACTGGAGTGCAGTGGCATGATCTCCGCTCACTGCAACCTCCGCCTCCCAGGTTCAGGGGATTCTTCCACCTCAGCCTCCAGAGTAGATGGGACTACATGTGCATGCCCCCATGCCCGGCTAATTTTTGTATTTTTAGTAGAGACTAGATTTCACCATGTTGGCCTGGCTGGTCTCGAACTCCTGACCTCAAATGATCCTCCTGCCTTGGCCTCCCAAAGTGCTGGGATTACTTAAAGGCGTGAGCCACCATGCCCGGCCAAACTTTATACTTCTGAATTTCCCAAATTTTCTATTAAAGTAAGTTATAAAAAGTAGCTTAGGTAAGACAACAATTGTTAAGATTCTATTATTGTAATACCCAAGTGTAAGAAATACGGTTGCCGTTCACACCTGTGTAGGTAGGTTTCCTAGATGACCGAATTAGGCTGCATGTATTGTGTGCCGGTCTTTGTTTTGCTCTTTGCCAAAACAGTGACTGCTGTTCTACCGTTGGACTCTGCTCTGTTTTGAACAGGTTGTCGGGGTACCAGTTGGGTCTGCTTTACCTTCAACAGTGAAGCAGGCTGTGGCGATCAGTGGTGGCCAGATCCTGGTAGCCAAGGCCAGCTCTTCTGTCTCCAAAGCAGTTGGTCCAAAGCAAGTTGTGACCCAAGGAGTTGCCAAAGCAATTGTGAGTGGAGGTGGAGGAACCATTGTTGCTCAGCCAGTGCAGACCTTAACCAAGGCCCAGGTCACTGCCGCTGGTCCTCAGAAGAGTGGATCCCAGGGTTCAGGTAAAACGGATCATCACTGGGGGCCCTTTCAGCAGAAGCTCTGTCCAATATTTCCTTTGCTAGTGATTTTATTTGCTATTTGATCTTGTCTAGGAAAGCCTAGTTAGGTTGATGCTGTAAGAAGTGTATTGAAATGTTTGTTCTTTTTTATGGACATTTCACATAAAGGTCTGTAGGTATTTAGCTTTAAGTTTACACACACACACACACACACACACACACACACACACACACACCCCTCCCCCCCCGTGGGGGATTGCTTCCAGGACCCCCTACTGCAGGTAGCAAAATCTACAGATGCTGGAGTCCCCTATGCAGATCTTCTGGTGTACTTTTACATCACCTCTAGGTTGTTTTAATACCTAATAACAATGTAAATGCTGTGTAAATAGTTGTTATGCTCTATTGTTTAAGGAATAATGACAAGAAAAAGTCTGTACATGTTCAGTACGGATGTACTCATCTTTTTTTCTCCCAATCTATGGGGATACAGAGAGCCAACGGTACTTGCCAGTCAGGAGCACAAATTTGCCCTAACTTTGACTTTAAACAAATGGGGGAAAATATGTATTCCTCCATAGATAGGGTGATTGTTTCATTAATTGTCCAAACCACAGTATTTATGAGAGTAAAAAGAGTCACTGTTAATAATTACAGTGGGACGGGTGTAACCTAGAAATGTTTTAGGCAGAACCAGGACATACGGTCACCCTATTATATACAAATATAAAGAGCCTCTGGCAGGCTTTTGTGGTCTATAAATTATTTTTTAATTAGCAGGGTATTTAAGAATATCAGTCTTTAAAGCACTGTGCATCTGGGAAACAAACTTTGAGTTTATTGCTTGTTAGTGTTCTAAAATAAGATTTCATTGCCTTTTTAGAGTGTTGCCCTTAGTTTCAATTTATCTTACAATTTTTTCTCCTTTACCATTTTAGTAATGGCAACATTGCAGCTACCAGCCACTAATTTGGCCAACTTGGCAAATTTGCCTCCTGGCACTAAACTCTACCTAACTACAAACAGCAAGAACCCTTCAGGAAAAGGAAAACTGCTGCTGATCCCTCAGGGAGCCATCCTGCGAGCTACAAACAGTGCTAGTAAGTGAAACCGTTGGGTTGAATCGTTTGGTTGTTGGTTCTGTGTGTGTGTTCATCTTGTCCACCTGAGGGTAGTTCTTACCTGTTTCAGAAAGCATTTCCGTAACTCTGTTGGGTGGTGTAATGGTAGCATTTGCCCAGATGGATTTAACACATAACGATAATTTAACTAGAAGTGGATTTGCTCCTCAGCATTTGGGATCAGGAATGAATTACACTGGAGAGAGAGGGCTAGTGAGGCTGTTAGGAGAAAGCCGTCTACAGGAACCATGAATGAAGTGGTATCTGAAAATTATCTGGTGATACCTGAGGGAAGATCCATCTACTCAGAGAAGCTGAAAGTCTATTTTTGGGGACAGGTTGGCATAGGATTGGAATCGAGTGCATCCGTTTGGCTTTGTTTAGATGGGGGTCCCCGACCCCTGGGCCACACAGCACAAGGTGAGCGAAGGGTGAAGGAGCATTACTGTCTGAGCTCTGCCTCCCATCAGATCAGCAGTGGCGCTAGATTCTCACAGGAGCTCAAACCCTGTTGAGAACTGTGCATACGAGGGATCTAGGTAGCGCACTCCTTATGAGAATCTAATGCCTGATGATCTGAGGTGGAACAGTTTCATCCCAAACCACCCCCCACCTCCTGCCCCAATTCATGGACAAATTCTCTTCCATGAAACTGGTCCCTGGTGCCACAAAGCTTGGGGGCAGCTGGTTTGGATGTATTCCTTACTTCTGCTAGGTTTAGAGGTGGAAAGAGAAATACAGACTCTGCCTAGGTGTGTAAGTCTTAAAGCCCCATGGAAATGAGGCAGTTTATTTGCAGTTACAGAAACTTTTGCTTTGACGTATCGAGAAAAACAATTTGGGCAGTGTTGAAGAGGATAGGATAAAAGGAAATTATTTCTCTCTGAATCAGAAGTAGAAAGGTATAGCATTCAGGGTCATTAGAAGTTAACCGCCCTTGCCAAAATGCAGTGTGTCAGCTAACCGTCTTTGTGTTCATTGACCATGATGGGTCAGTTCCACTCTCACTTGGTATTTTTTCCTCATACCTAAGCAGTGGTATGTCCAAAAGTTAAATATGTAAGAAAAGCACAGTATAAATATAAATATTTCAGAAGTCATCCAGGGAGCTACTTAGATTCTTGTGATATTCTTGGGGCAAAAATAAACCATTGGGGAGGAAGTTGTTGCAGTAATCACTGGAATGAAGGTGGAGAAGGAAATTGGAAATATTCTTGAGTGAATATTCATAGTGCAGGTAGTTCAAATGCATTATCTCACCAAAAGAGAAGGAAAAAGAGTTTTGACGTGGGATTTGAAAGGCAAAGAAGAATGGGGTCGTGGGGTCCTGGGGTCATTGTAAATGAAGGAAAGTCTTCATTTTTCCCAAGACAGGGAGACAGCATTGAGCACTGTAAAGTGACACTAAATTCCAGCAATTCACTGACATTGAATCAGATGCCCAAAAGTTGGGAAGCACCTGAGCACATTTAAGTGTTGATTAAAATACTTGGCTAGAGGCTAGGTGCAGTGGCTCACACCTGTAATCCCAGCACTTCGGAGGGCCAAGGTGGGCGGATCATGAGGTCAGGAGATCGAGACCATCCTGGCCAACATGGTGAAACCCCCTCTCTACTAAAAATACAAAATTAGCTGGGCGTGGTGGCATGCGCCTGTAGTCTCAGCTACTTGGGAGGCTGAAGCAGGAGAATCGCTTGAACCCGGGAGGCAGAGGTTGCAGTGAGCCAAGATCTTGCCATTGCACTCCAGCCTGGCGATAGAGTGAGACTCCGTCTCAGAAAAATACTTAGCTAGAAAATGTCAGTAGCAAGCCTTCTCTTGATCTCCCATGACCACGTCAACGTATCTTCATTGTACTCAGAGCCAAAATACAGTCAGTTGTCATGCAGTTGAAAGGAGATAGATTCTGATCTAAAAATCTAGGAAGTTCTCCTCACTCTTGTCACAAGATAGGTAGATTACAGAAAAGAAGGAGGAAAATGGGAAAGGAGAAGGAATGGCACTAAAAGGGAAACATCTCTCTGGGCTCATTTTTATGTTAAAGCTTTGCTTGATACATTTTGTGATGTTGCTGTCATTCACTGTATTTTTAGATCTCCAGTCTGGCTCAGCTGCCAGTGGTGGGAGTGGTGCTGGAGGAGGAGGAGGTGGTGGAGGCGGTGGCAGTGGTGGAGGCAGCAGTGCAGGAGGAGGAGGAGGAACAGGAGGAGGAACAGCAGGAGGAGGAACTCAAAGTACCGCCGGCCCTGGAGGGATATCTCAGCACCTGACTTACACATCTTACATCCTCAAGCAAACTCCCCAGGTCTGGTTATCTGTAACTGATATTTTAAATCATTTAGCTATTTGGTAACTATGCTTAATCATAATTGATTGACCTTTACAGCTCTGGGATCAGGATTCAATACTAACACCTTAGCCATGTTATCTATAGCTATATCTTGGCTGGGTATGGTAGCTCATGCCTGTAATCCTGGCACTTTGGGAGGCCAAGGAGGGTGGATCGCTTGAGCCCAGGAGCTCGAGACCAACCTGGGCAACATGGCGAAACCCCGTCTCTACTGAAAATACCAAAATTAGCTGGGCGTGGTGGTGCATGTCTGTAGTCCCAGCTACTCTGAAGGTTGAGGTGGGAGGATTGCTTGAACCTGGGAGGTTGAGGCTGCAGTGAGCTGAGGTCGCACCACTGCACTCCACCCTGGGTGACAGAGCAAGACCCTGTCTCAAAAAAAAAAAAAAAAGAAAAAAAAAACTTTTTATCTTTTTGTGCTCGTTTTGAGAGAAGAGGAAATAGAGATTAAGAAACACTTTAGTGGCCGGGCGAGGTGGCTCACGCCTGTAATCTCAGCACTTTGGGAGGCTGAGGCGGGCGGATCACAAGGTCAGGAGATTGAGACCATGGTGAAACCCCGTCTCTACTAAAAATAGAAAAAATTAGCCGGGCGCAGTGGCGGACGCCTGTAGTCCCAGCTACTCGGGAGGCTGAGGCAGGAGAATGGCGTGAACCCGGGAGGCGGAGCTTGCAGTGAGCCGAGATTGTGCCACTGCACCCCAGCCTGGGCGACAGAGCAAGACTCCGTCTCAAAAAAAAAAAAAAAAAGAAACACTTTAGTAACTTATCCAGGATCTTCCTGCTAAGCTAATGGTAGAATTTGGGTTTAAGCCAGGCACAGTGGCTCACGCCTGTAATCCCAGCACTTTGGGAGGCCAAGGCAGGCAGATCACCTGTCAGGAGTTCAAGACCAGCCTGGCCAACATGGTGAAACCCCGTCTCCACTAAAAATACAAAAATCAGTTGGGTGTGGTAGTGCATCCCTGTAATCCCAGCTACTTGGGAGGCTGAGGCAGGAGAATCTCTAGAACCCACAAGACAGAGGTTGCAGTGAGCTGAGATCACTCCATAGTATTCTAGCCTGGGCGACAGAGTGAGACTCTGTCTCAAAAAAAAAAAAAAAAAAAAAGAATTTGGGTTTAAACCCAGATCTTCCTGCCTTAAAGAAAGATTTCTACTATGCTGATTGCCTCCCAAATCCATGAGGTAATAAACAGTATTAATGTACAGTTGAAAAGTTGCTCGTAGAAGGGAGTGATCAAAGAGACAGTATCAAGTTGTAATATTTAGAGTTAGGTTAGATTTGATTAGGAACGGGTTTCCTCCTCCTCTCCTCTTGTCATTAAAGTCTTGGCTCTTTTCGAAGGAAAGTCATAGAATTTTGGTTCCAGATGTTCTTATTGAGAAAGATGTAGAGTTATCAGTCTGAATGATTAAATCCAGCTTTGAGGACTAAATTGCAAAACAGAGTTTTCAACAGACTGCTCTGTAACTACGGTGCAAAGTTTGAGAGGTGGGGATAACTGTTGGAAGTAATACTTAGAGCACAACTGTTCTTTTGAATTATTTTGCCTACATCGCAGAATTAAAGGGGAGAGCATTGTAGCTTGTAAGATGGGACGTTACATGTTATTTAGGGGATCAGAACAGTCCATTTGAATTTAACAAATTATCGGTTAGTTCTTTGTATTTTTTTCTAACTTAGGGCACATTTTTAGTTGGCCAGCCATCACCCCAGACTTCTGGAAAACAACTCACCACTGGGTCAGTGGTCCAAGGAACGCTGGGAGTCAGCACGTCTTCTGCACAAGGACAACAAACGCTGAAGGTCATCTCTGGACAGAAAACCACGCTGTTTACACAGGTAAATATGCCCATGCACACACCCCAAATATGGGGTGACTATGGCATTTATTTACATATTTACATGTAGTTTCTCTCTTTTCACAAAGAAATTAAGGTTACATAAGAAAATGAACAATAAGGCCCGGAGTGGTCGCTCAAATGCCTGTAATCCCAGCACTTTGAGAGGCCAAGGTGGGTTAATTGCCTGAGGTCAGGAGTTCGAGACCAGCCTGGCCAACATGGCCAACATAGTGAAACCCCGTCTCTACTAAAAATACAAAAATTAGCCGGGCGGGATGGTGCGCACCTATAGTCCCAAGTACTCAGGAGGCTGAGGCAGGAGAATCGCTTGAACCCGGGAGGCAGAGGTTGCAATGAGCCGAGATCGCACCATTGCATTCCAGCCTGGGCGACAGAGCGAGATTCTGTCTCAAAAAAAAAAAAAAAAAGGAAGAAAGAAAGAAAAGGAACAATAAAAAAATATAGAAAAACAAAAACGAATCTTGAGGTTTGGGAAAATATAAGTAGAATGAGAAAATTAAGACCCCAGGTGTTATTCTGATATGTAAACAGTCAAGATATCTTGCACAGTTAATAAAATCAAGGTATAAATTTTATAGCAAAGACAAAATGAGAAGCATGGTCAGTTTTAAAGTCACACTATATGTGAGAAAGAAAAAACACATATTTCGTTAGAAGAAACAAAGCTTTCTTGACACTTTGTTGTAAAATTTCTCCAGATGGACTTCACGTAGAAGAGGTGGGAGGATCCGCCTGCCTCGGCTTCCCAAAATGCTGGGATTACAGGCGTGACCCACCACACCTGGCCTTGTTTAGAATTTTTGCAAGGGATACTGGTCAGTAGTTTTCTTAGTAATTTCTGTCTGGTTTGGTATCAGGGTAATACTGGCCTCATAAAATGAAGTGAAAGCTTTTTCTTGCTTTTCTTTTTATTGGAAGAGTTTATATAGAATTGGTACTATTTCTTAACTGTTTAATTGAATATACCAGTAAAAGCCATATTAGCCTGGAGTTTTCCTAATTGAGAAGGTTTTTATACTACAGTTTTAAATTTCAGTTTATTTACTAGATATGGGACTGTTCAGGTCATTTCTTTTCCTTTTCTTTTTATATATATTTTTTGAGACAGAGTCTTGCTCTGTTGCCCAGGCTCCTGGGTTCAAGCAATTCTCCTGCCTCATCCTCTCAAGTAGCTGCAATTACAGGAGCCCACCACCACGCCTGGCTAATTTTTGTATTTTTAGTAGAGACGGGGTTTTACTATGTTGGTCAGGCTGATCTCGAACTCCTGACCTCGTGATCTGCCTGCCTTGGCCTCCCAAAGTTCTGGGATTACAGGCACAAGCCACCATGCCCAGCCCGTTTTCATTCTTGCTTTTTATAATTATGTGTCTTCTCTTTTTATTGATCAGTCTAGCCAGGGGTTTATCAGTTGTATTGATCTTTTCAAATTAGCAGCATTTGGTGTCCTAATTTCTTTTTTGTCAGATGTCCTTACCCATGTTAAACAGATACAAGGCCCCGCAGTTCACTGTAGGCAGTTCTTTTAAATCTTCCTCAGATTTCATACCTGCTTGTGTTGCAGCAGTGCGCAGGTGAGACAATTCCTGTTGCCCCTCCCTCCTTGCAGGAACTGGCTATCTTTAACCTTCAGGTTACTTGGCTACTTTGAGATTTCAGCCCTCCAATATGTTTCAGAAAAATAAGATTTTCTAGTATATTCAGCCTTTTCTTTTTAGAGTAGGCGCAACCATGCTTTACAGCCCTCTGTTTCCTATGTGGAAGCAAAAGTCCCTGACCAAACGGATTTTAACTTGACAGAGAAAACTTTATTTTTATTTGTTTATTTTTTTATATATATTTTTTGAGACGGAGCCTTGCTTCATCCTCAGGCTGGATTGCAGTGGCACAATCTTGGCTCACTGCAGCCTCCGCCTCCTGGGTTCAAGCAATTCTCCTGCCTCAGCCTCCTGTGTAGCTGGGATTACAGGCGCGGACTGCCACGCCTGGCTAATTTTTGTATTTTTAATAGAGGTGGGGTTTCACCATGTTGGCCAGGATGGTCTCAATCTCTTGACCTTGTGATCTGCCTGCCTCGGCCTCTCAACGTACTGGGATTACAGGCGTGAGCTGCTGCACCCAGCTTTTACTTTTTTTTTTTTTTAATTTTTTATCTTTCTGACTCAAGATCTAACAGAAAAAACTTTAAATTGCTGTGGTTTCAGATTACATAATACAACTAAACTTGAGGAAACTTCCACTAGTTGAGCTTTAGTGTAGCGTCAGAGAAGAGTAACAACAGTACTTGAAAGAGCTGTTAAAATACTCTTCCCTTTTCCAACTACATATGGGGATATATCTCAAACCAACACAGCAAGCACCGCAGGAAGGAGGAAGCAGGGGGCGCAGGGCATGGAGAGTACTGGAAACTGAATAGAACTGGCTGCTCTTGCTGCAGTACCCAACACATCACCCTTCTAGTTGCCTCAAGCTTCTGCCATCACCAGATGTGGAGCATATCTAGCATTTTTCCACGCTTCTGTGGCAGATTCTCCTGGCATGTCCTGCGTAAGGCTTTTATCACTTGGCGAGGCTTTCTTCTGCAGCTTCTTGTCTGTTTTTCATAGTTGCTTGTCCACTATTGGACTCCTCAACTACTTCTTGAACACAACCAGGAGAATACATTTATTTACTTATTTATGCCTTTTCTGTTTTTTTTGGATTTGGTGCTGAGAGGAGTATTGCTGTCCACAGTGAAGATAAAATGGCAGAAATGTTTATGCAGTGAACTCTGTGGCAGCAAAATACATAAAGTGCAAAGACTATTAAGAATATGAGGAGAATTTGATAAAACTGCAGTCACAGAGAAGAATTTTAACATGTCTGTCAGCATTTAGCTAATCAAGTGGATAAATCCTTTTTATTATAAAGGATTTGTATTGGAATAACACTACTAACAGGCTTAATTCTGTATCATGGAGACACAGAATACACATTTTGCTGGTATGTCTATGGAACGTTAACAAATTGATTATATACTTCGCCACAAAGAGAATCTCTTAGCATATTTCAAAAGTAGCATCCAATGTGCTTCATGCTGTTACTCAATAAAAAAGTCAAATCAATAACAACCAAAAAACTTGAAAATTAAAATACTCTTCTAAATTCTTCGGTAAAAAAAATCCAAATAAATTATGGATGATTTTAGCTGTTAATACAAATGACAATTTTATTAGGGTTCCCCAGAGAAACAGAACAAATATAATATATAGATACTAAGAGGAAATGTATTACGGGAATTGGCTCATGTGATTATGGAGACTAAGGAGTCCCACGACATGCTGTTAGCAGGCTGGAGAGCAGGACAGCTAGTGGTGTGATACAGTCTGATTACAAAGGCCTGAGAACTGGCGGGGATGGGAGTGAGGGGCACATTGGCATTAAGTCCTGGAGTCTGAAGGCCTGAGAACCAGGAGCTCTGATGTCTAAGGGTAGGAGAAGATTGATGTCTCAGCTTAGGAAGAGAGAGAGAATTCGCCCATTGTCCGCCTTTTTGTTCTATTCAGGTCCTTGACAGATTGGATGATGTCTGCCCACGTTGGCAAGGGCGGATCTTCTTTACTCTGTCTAGTGATTCAGATGCTGGTCTCTTCCAGAAATAATATTTTATCAGGTATCTGGGCATCCCCCAGCCCACTCAAGTTGACATAAAATTAACCATCCCAACAGTACTTCTTATTAAAACCTGTGGAAACAACCCAAACCAGGCTCAAGAAAATTCAAAGCTTTAAATGCTTTTTCCTTTTAGCCCCGCATCCTTTAAGATATAACAAAATAATGCGTAAATCATAAGTATAGTGTTCAATGAGTTTTATACTCATGCAACCACTATCGCAATCAAGATATAGGATAGTTCTATCACTCTTTTTTTTTTTTTTTTTCCTGAGGCGAAGTTTCGCTCTTGTTGCCCAGACTGGAGTGCAATGGCACGATCTCGGCTCACCGCAAACCTCCGCCTCCCAGGTTCGAGCGATTCTCCTGCCTTAGCCTCCAGGTAGCTGGAATTACAGGCATGCGCCACCACCCCCGGCTAATTTTGTATTTTTAGTAGAGATGGGGTTTCTCCATGTTGGTCAGGCTGGTCTCAAACTCCCGACCTCAGGTAGTTCGCCCGCCTCAGCCTCCCAAACTGCTGGATTATAGGCATGAGCCACCGCGCCCGGCCCAGTTCTATCACTCTTAAAACATTCCCTGGTTCAGGCACTGTAGCTCATGCCTGTAATCCCAGTACCTTGAAGGTCTGAGGCAGGAGGATCACTTAAGCCCAGGAATTTGAGACCAGCCTGGGTGACATAGGGACACTTTGTCTCTACCAAAAAAAAAAAAAATTAAAGGCCAGGTCTGGTGGCTAATGCCGGTAATCCCAGCACTCTTTGGAGGCTGAGGCAGGTGGACCACGAGGTTAAGAGATCAAGGCCATCCTGGCCAGCATGGTGAAACCCTGTCTCTACTAAAAATACAAAAATTAGCTGGGCATGGTGGCGTGCACCTGTAGTCCCAGCAACTCCAGAGGCTGAGGCAGGAGAATTGCTTGAACCGGGGAGGCAGAGGTTGCAGTAAGCCAAGATTGCGCCACTGCACTCCTGCCCCAAAAAAAAAAATAAGAAATACATAATTTGTAAGTGGTTCTCCAGTACTAAAATGCTAAGCCTATATCTAATTTAGAAGACCATTCACTTACCCATTTAAATCTGGCCCCGTCTAGGGTTGATTTTCACGTTTAAAGATTATACGTACATTTAAGAGTACGTTGTAATCAATTATTTTGAAAACAAGTGACCTATTATCTTTGAAGACACTGCTGCCAAATAGTAACTTGCAATTGCATTTCTTTACTTGTTCTATATTGGGGTAAAGGGATATTTATAAGTGAGAGGTCATAAAATTTGGAGCTTGTTAGAAAGGTGCATAAACACCTCATGTGGGTTCGATTGGTAAGACTTTCCTGGCTGGTCTCCAATTCTTGGGGCATATCTCAATTGTCAGTAAGGAATGAGTTATGTCTATTATCCCAGGCAACATGATTATTTCTGCCCATTTTGTTTCTGCAGGCAGCTCATGGAGGACAGGCATCTCTAATGAAAATATCCGATAGCACCTTGAAGACTGTGCCAGCCACCTCACAGCTCTCAAAGCCTGGAACCACAATGCTGAGAGTAGCAGGAGGGGTTATCACAACTGCCACTTCCCCAGCTGTGGCCCTCTCAGCAAATGGTCCTGCACAACAGGTGAGAAATAGCACGTCAGTAGAGAATCCTAATGAAACATGAAGGTGGTATAAATACACAGAAGATGTCCAGTAGGCACACCAGTGGGCCTTTTTAAAATACTGAACTATTGCTTTTTTTTTTTTAAAAAAAAAGAAATATTCACATACCATAGAAGTCCCCATTTTATAGTATACAGTTCAGTAATGCTTGTTACCATTCACATGGTTGTGCAGCTCTCATTACCATCATCTAATCCCAGAATATTTTATCCCAAAAAGAAGCCCAGTACCCATCAGCACTCACGCCCATTCCACCTTCTGTAGTTCTAGGCAACCGCTGACCTACCTTCTTTCTCTGGATTTGCCTATTTTAGACATTGCATATAAAGGGAGTCATAGAACATGCCCTTTGGGTCTCTTCTGGTGCTTAGCATTACTTTTCAGAGTTCATCCATGTTGTGACTTGCATCAGTACTCCTTCCTTTTCGTGGCTGAATAATACCCAGTTTGATGGATATACCATATTTTGTTTACCCATTCATCAGTTGATGGGCACTGGAATTATTTTCTACTTTTTGAATAATGCTGCGGTGAATATTTGTCTACAGGTTTTTGTATAAACACATTTCTGTTTCTCTTGGCTGTATACCCAGGGATGGAATTGCTGGATTATATGGTAACTCTTTTTTTTTTTTTTTTTTTCTTTGAGATGGAGTCTTGCTCTTGTCGCCAGGCTGGAGTGCAGTGGCGAGATCTCAGCTTACTGCAACCTCCATCTCCCGGGTTCAAGCAATTCCCCTGCCTCAGCCTCCTGAGTAGCTGGGACTACAGGCGCACACCACCACGTCTGGCTAATTTTTTGTATTTTAGTAGAGACAGGGTTTCACCGTGTTGGCCAGAGTGGTCTTGATCTCCTGACCTCATGATCCGCCCGCCTCAGCCTCCCAAAGTGCTAGGATTACAGGCGTGAGCCACTGCTCCCAGCCTACAGTAACATTTTCTGGAACTGCTAAACTGTTTTCCCAAGTGGCTACATCATTTTAGATTTCCACCAGCAATATACGAGAGTTCCAGTTTTTCCACAAACTCACCCAAACTTGTTCTTGTCCTTTTTTTTTTTTTTCATTATAGCCATTGTAGTGGGTGTAAACTAGTGTCTCACTGTGGTTTTGATTTGCAGTTCCCTGATAGTTAATGATATTGAGCATCTTTTCATGTATTTACTGGCTGTTTGTATATCTTTTATCCATTTACATCCTTTGCCCATTTTTTAGTTGGTTGTCTTTTAATCATTGAGATATAGGAGTGCTTTATGTATTCTAGATATGTCTCTTACCAGATTTGCAAAAATTTTCTCGTACTCTGAGCTGTCTTTTCACTTACTGATAGTATTGAACCATGCCCAGCTAATTAAACCATGCCCACCACTGTGCCCAGCTAATTAAAAACAAAAGTTTCTAATTTTGATTTTCATTCCTTTTTTTAAAAAATGTCAATTATGATGGGTCCATAATCAGTGTAGATATTCACAGGGTACACGTGATGTTTTGATGCAGGCGTACAGCACGTAATAACCTCATCGGGGTCATTGGGATATCTGTCACTTCAAGCATTTATCTTTTTTTAAAACCAATTCTGCTCTTTGTTACTGTAAAATATATAAGAAATTATTGCGAATTTTGGTCACCCTGTTGTGCTATCAAATACTAGATCTTACTCATCCCTTCTAACTATATTTTTGTACCCATTAACCATCCCCACTTCCTCCCTCCCTGCTGCTGCCCTTCCCACCTTCTGGTAACCACCATTCTTCTCTGTCTTCATGAGTTCAGTTGTTTTCATTGTTAGCTCCCACATATGAGTGAGAACATGTGAAATGTATTTTTCTGTGCCTGGCTTATTTCACTTAACATAGTGTCCTCCAGTTCTATCCATGTTGCAAATGACAGGATTTCATTCTTTCTTATGGCTGAATAATATTGCATCATGTATCTGTATCACATTTTCTTTATCATTCACCTGGTGGTGGACACTTAGGTTGATTCCAAATCTTGGCTGTTGTGAATAGTGCTGTAATAAACATGGGAGTGCAGATAGCTCTTCGTATACTAATCTCCTTTCTTTTGGGTACATACCTAGCAGTGGGATGTGGATCATATGGTATTTCTATTTTCAGTCTCTTGAGGACCCTCTGTATGTTCTCTATCGTGGTTGTGCTAACTTACATTCCCACCAGCAGTGCACGAGGGTTCCCTCTTCTCCATATCCTCACCAGCCTGTCTTTTGGATGAAAGCCATTTTAACTGGGTGGGATGATTTCTCATTATAATTCTGATTTGTGTTTCTGTGACAATTAATGATGTTGAACATTTTTTTATTTGCCTGTTGGGCCATTTATGTGTCTTCTTCTGAGAAATGTCTGTTCAGATCTGTTGCCCATTTTCAAATGAGATTATTTGACTTTTTTCTATAGAGTTGTTTGAGCTTCTTGTATATTCTGATTATTAATCCTTTGTCAGATGTGTATGTAGTTGGCCAGTATTTCCTCCCATTCTGTGGGTTGTGTCTTTGTTAATTGTTTTCTTTGCTGTGCAGAAGCTTTTTAACTTGATGTGATCCCATTTATACATTTTTGTTTTGGTTGCCTGTGCTTTTGAGGTATTGCTCAAGAAATCTTTGCCCAAACCAATATCCTGGAGAGTTTCCCTAATGTTTTCTTGTAGTAGTTTCATAGTTTGATGTCTTAGATTTAAGTCTTTAATCCATTTTGATTGCATAGTGAGAGCTAGGTGGTCTAGTTACATTCTTCTGCATAAAGATACCCAGTTTTCCCAGCACAAGTTTTAATGAAAGTCCCAATTTACCTATTTTTCTTTTATTGCTTGTTCTTTTGATGTCACATCTGAAAAACCTTTGCCTAATCCAAAGCCACAAAATTCAAGCCTGTGTTTTCTTCTAAGAGTTTTATACATTTAGCTCTGTAACCTAAATAAGGTTACAGATTCATTTGGGTTAATTTTTTTTTTTTTTTTTGCAATGGAGTCTCATTCTGTCGCCCAGGCTGGAGTGCAGTGGTACGATTTCAGCTCACTGCAACCTCTGCCTCCAGCCTCGCAAGTAGCTGGGACTACAGGCACCCACCACCATGCCCAGCTAATTTTTTTTTTTTTTTTTGTATTTTTAGTAGACATGGGGTTTCACGGTGTTAGCCAGGATGGTCTTGATCTCCTGACCTCGTGATTCATCCGCCTTGGCCTCCCATAGGCATAAGCCACCATGCCCAGCCACTCGAATTAATTTTTGTACATGGTGTGAGGTAGACACCAAACTTTATTCTTTATTATGTAAATATCTAGTTGGCCTAGAAACATTTATTGAAAAACCATCTCTCAGCTGTCTTGGAAGCCCACAGACTTGAATGATGTGACTTGACTTCTCAAGCTTCATCTCCTGCAGCTGCTGCTTCTCCTCCTGTGCCTCTTCACGAGTCATACCACTGTGCTTTGCAGTTCCTTGAACATACAGTGTTCTTTCATGCCTCACCAACTTTCTACATACTCTCCTTTGCCAAGAAACCCTGGCATCTCTCCCTTTCTCTGTCTTGAATCTGGAAGATTCCCCTAAAGTGCCTGATGTTTTACCTGAAGCTGTTTCCTGTACCCTCCCCTTTCTATTCCTAGGCAGAAGCAGTACCTTTCTTCTTGGTTGTATTGGTGACATTTGCCTGTGCTTGCCATAGCATCATCATACTTAGGTGACTGTTTCCGTGGTAGCTTTTATCTCAGAGCCTTAGCACTTAACCATTATGCCAGCCATGCAGTAGATGTTTGTTGAATGAAGTGACAGACTTTAAACATTGTCACGTATTCTTAATAAAGCTCATTTTTAGTCCATGTGTATATTCTGAGAATATGTCCTCCTAATTTTTTGGTGATGAAATTGCCTTTTATAAAGGGATATAGGCCAGGCGCAGTGGCTCACGCCTGTAATCCCAGCACTTTGGGAGGCTGAGGCGGGCGGATCACGAGGTCAGGAGATCGAGACCATCCTGGCGAACACGGTGAAACCCCATCTCTACTAAAAAAAATACAAAAAAATTAGCCGGGCGTGGTGGTGGGCACCTGTAGTCCCAGCTTCTAGGGAGGCTGAGGTAGGAGAATGGCGTGAACCCAGGAGGCAGTGGAGCTTGCAGTGAGAGGAGATCGCGCCACTGCACTCCAGCCTGGGCGACAGAGCGAGACTGTCTCAAAAAAAAAATATATATATATATAAAGGGATATAATAGGTGGTGAATTTTAAAAATATGATCACCCTATGATACTTCCTTGTTTTACGTTTTTAAAATTTTCTTGGTCCATGAAATGTAAAAGTACAGGAACCATTGAACTACAGAAGTAATCTTTTTTAAATGGTATGGCATTTATTAAGTAGTCACTAACACCTAATAGATGACACTTAGTGTGTGTGCTGTGTGGCCATCACTGCTCTTAGTCACTCACTCTACTTCCTTCCTGAATTGTGTTGTTTCTGGCACCATGGGTGAGTAGTCTGAGGGAATGGCTCCCATGTCTTCATCTACGGTCAGTTCTGTAACGAAAACTTCTGGGCAGCCGCAAGTGTGTGTGAGCCAGACCACCGTGGGAACCTGCAAGGCTGCCACCCCCACCGTCGTCAGCGCCACGTCCCTCGTGCCCACACCAAACCCCATCTCTGGGAAAGCCACAGTATCAGGTGAGTTTCATTGTGATATTATTTCTCTCTCTTTTCTGTCATAGGGCTAGAGTATTTTTGGAGGATCTTGTTTGTTTGTTTGTTTGTTTGTTTGAGATAGCGTCTCACTCTGTTGCCAAAGCTAGAGTGCAATATCACAGTTTCTTGACTCACTGCAACCTCTGCCTTCCAGGCTCAAGCCATCCTCACACCTGAGCCTCTTGAGTGTCTGGGACCACAGGCACACATCACACCCAGCTAATTTTTTGTGTTTTTGGTAGAGATGGGGTTTCACCATGTTGTCCAGGCTGGTCTCGAACTCCTGAGCTCAGGTGATCCGCCCCCCTCGGCCTCCCAAAGTGCTGGGACTATAGGCGTGAGCCACTGTGCCCAGCTATTTTTTGGAGGGTCTTAAGCAATATTTTGTATAATAAATTGTTAAAAGTAATTAATCCAGCAGCATTTTTTGAACAGCTACTTTTTAGATAAATTATTTTTGTTTAAAAATCTACATATCAGGTTTTGTCTGAGACTTTAAATTATCATTTGAAAGTTACTATTTGAATTTTTGAATGATATAATAAAACCTTAGCCACGCAGAACCCTACTGGGTATTTTAGCTTTTTTTATAATGTAATTTTGCAGAGAGCCAAGAGTTTGCTTTCCTTAAAGTACTAATTTCTTTTTTCCTATAATCAGTGTTGAATAGAATTCACTATAAAATGTATAGCTTTCTTTGCTTTCATAAACAAAGTACATAAAATATATCTTAGCCTTGGTGACTCCAAGTCATAATTTTTAACATTAGTTATTATGTTGGCTAGTGTTAGAATGATAGGCTGGAGATCCGGTAAGAGCTATGGTGTCTTTGTGCCTGCACTAGAGGGCCTCAGAAAAGTGTACCTTTTGCTTCTGAGTAACAGAGAGCACGCGTCCTGAGACCAGATGGGCTAGTGGAAGTGATTTGCTTCAGTTTCTCAGCTGTAAATGAGATTGATAATAATACCTACTTCATGAGGTCGAGAGGTTTAAATGGGTTAGTAATATATAATATATCTGTGCTTAGAATACTGTCTGGTGTATAGTGGCCATTATATAAACAATTGCCTCTGCCATTATCGTGTTACATCGTTTTTGTTGTTAGTCCATAATCCTTTATCTGCAATTCTAAAATCCCAAAAGCTGTGAAAACCAAAGATTTTATTTTTTTAAATTTTACTTTAAGTTCTGGGATGCATGTGCAGAACGTCCAGGTTTGTTACATAAGTGTACATGTGCCATGGTGGTTTGCTGCACCTGTCAACCCATCATGTAGGTTTTAAGCCCTGCATACATTAGATATTTGTCCTAATGCTCTCCCTCCCCTTGCCCCGCACCCCCCGACAGGCCCCGGTATGTGATATTCCCCTCCCTGTGTCCAGCTGTTCTCATTGTTCAGTTCCCACTTACGAGTGAGAACATGTGGTATTTGGTTTTCTGTTCTTGTGTTAGTTTGCTGATGAGAATGATGGTTTCCAGCTTCATCCATATCCCTGCAAAGGACATGAACTCATTCTTTTTTATGGCTGCAAGATTATATTGTATTGTATTATATTATTATTATTATTATTATTATTTTGATGGAGTCTTGCTCTGTCGCCCAGGCTGGAGTGCAGTGGCATGATCTCGGCTCACTGCAATCTCTGCCTCCCGGATTCAAGCAATTCTCCTGCCTCAGCTTCTCGAGTAGCTGGGATTAAAGGCACCTGCCATCATGCCTGGCTAATTTTTGTAGAGATAGGGTTTTACCAGGTTGGCCAGGCTGGTCTTGAACTCCTGACCTCAGGTGATCCACCTGCCTCGGCCTCCCACAGTGCTGGGATTACAGGCATGAGCCACCATGCGTGGCCAGAGATTTTATTTTTTATAACTAATTTTGGGGCACAATTGGACCTCCATTGACAGCATGTTTATATTATTTAATGTGAATATTTGTGTGTTTTGCCATAGAATATTGATGTGTTTGATTACATCATACTGTCTCAGCTGCCAGAAAGCTGATAATATATACGGCTTTGCTTCTCAAACTTGAATGATCAGTTTTGGTTTTGTTTTTCTACGATCTGGTACAGATAGATACTTCTGTAAAATATAATTAAAATGTCGCAGCACTATCAAACTGTTAAAGTTTCTACTCTATTATCTTGTTGCAGATTGATACCAGCCAGCATACGGCTGGCACTGGTCTACCGGAAAAACTGAATATCACCGAGATACACACACACGCACGCATGCACACACGCGTGCAGACACACCCCTTACTGCCTTTGGATTAGAGGCTGTGGATGTTGTTATTACTATTATTACTTCATTCATATGTGGCTCCACACCAAGCCCCTCGTGTCTTGTTTTTTGGATAGAGAACAAAAAATTAAGGCTGATTATATTTTTCTCTTGATTTCTACCTCCCTGTTAAAATTGACCAACTTCTAGTATAGGGAGTGCTTGTTCTCTACTAACTGAATGTTTTATTTGAGGCCCTGTGTTGGACACTGGAGTAGAACTTGTAGAAATAAAAGGAATTATTACAATAATGAATGCCCTTCCCTTGTCTCTTTTCTGATCATGTTTTTGGCATGTAGTAGATGAAGTCTCCCTGCTGTAAATTCTAGTTTCCTAAGATGCTGCTGCTGCTGGAACTTTCCGTATCACATTTTCTTTCTTTTTTTGAGACGGAATTTTGTTCTCGTCGCCCAGGCTGGAATGCAGTGGAACAATCTTGGCTCACTGCAACCTCTGCCTTCTGAGTTCCAGCGATTCTCCTGTGTCAGCCTCTTGAGTAGCTGGGATTACAGGCATGTGCCACCACATCCCACTGATTTTTGTATTTTTAGTAGAGATGGGGTTTCACCATGTTGATCAGGCTGGTCTCGAACTCCCGACCTCAGGTGATCCACCCGCCTCGGCCCCCAAAGTGCTAGGATTACAGGCGTGAGCCACTACACCCAGCCCACATTTTCATAAAAGGATCAAACTGTTTCCTACTTATAACTAGCAGTTTTTCAATTAAGTTTTTTGTGTGCATCATAAACTGCGTTAAACAAGGTCTCGTTGGGACAGAAGCTGCATGAGCAAGGGAGAGAGCACGAGAAGATTCCATCAGAGCACACAGGGCCTGTGTGGGGTGTTGGAACTTTGACTCTGGGGGAAGCCACTGAAGGGTTTTAAGCTAAGGTGGAATATGATCTGCCTTACCTTTTAACAGGATCATTGGTGTAGTATTGACAGTAAGCTCTGGGGCACGAGGTGGAAGCAGGGAATGGACCAGGAAGTAGATACTAAGAAAGAAAATTTAGTGATGTATTAGGGAGCTCTGGCCAGACAAGGATCTTTCCCAGAAGTGAAGAGCATGAACTGCCAGTTTCAAAAGGCACAGGGTAAAGAAATTGAAAATTTCAGAAATTACATTATCATTGAGCTTCTCAGTGGCAGTGCTAGAAGCTAGCATACTACTGCTTTTCAGAATGCAAGAACATTACTTTTAGTCTAGAATTCTCTAGTTAAGGAGATCATTACAGAGTGAGAGTAAAACTATTTCTGACAGGCAAAGTTTGAAATGTATTTCCTGTGTACCCTCTCCAAAGACATTCCTGAAATATGGGGTGGGGTTAGTCCCAGTCAGCTGTTGTAAGGTGAAAATATTTTTTTTTTTTTTTTGAGACGGAGTCGCGCTCTGTCACCCAGGCTGGAGTGCAGTGGTGCGATCTTGGCTTACTACAAGCTCTGCCTCCTGGGTTCACACCATTCTCCTGCCTCAGCCTCCCAAGTAGCTGGGACTACAGGCACCTGCCACCATGCCCAGCTAATTTTTTGTAGTTGTAGTAGAGACAGGGTTCCAGTGTTAGCCAGGATGGTCTTCATCTCCTGACCTCATGATCTGCCTACCTTGGCCTCCGAAAGTGCTGGGATTACAGGCGTGAGCCACCACACCTGGCCGTAAGGTGAAAATATTCTAAATGGAAAAAAATGCATGACTGGCCGGGGACTGTGGCTCACTGCCACTGCCCAGCATCACAAGAGAGGTACAGTTTCTGCTGAGTGCCTGTGACTTTCATACCATGCCAAAGTAAAAAACTCCAATCAACCATTGTAAGAGAATATCTGTATAGGGAAGAAAGGGTATATAAGTGCCTTAAAGGGGGAACTTTTTATACCTTTTCTGGGCCCCATCTAGGGGCTAGATTTGACTTTGACTCTGGGGGAAGCCACTGAAGACCCCATCTAGGGGCCAGGTGCTGTGGCTTACAACTGTAATCTCAGCAGTTTGGGAGGCCAAGGCAAGCGGATCGCTTGAGGCTGGGAGTTTGAGATAAGCCTGGGCAATGCTGCAAGACCCCATCTCTTAAAAAAAAAATTAGGCCGGGCGCGGTGGCTCAAGCCTGTAATCCCAGCACTTTGGGAGGCCGAGACGGGCGGATCACGAGGTAGAGATCGAGACCATCCTGGTGAAAACACGGTGAAACCCCGTCTCTACTAAAAAATACAAAAAACTAGCCGGGCGAGGCGGCGGGCGCCTGTAGTCCCAGCTACTCGGGAGCTGAGCGGCGAGAATGGCTGAAACCCAGGGGCGGAGCTTGCAGTGAGCTGAGATCCGGCCACTGCACTCCAGCCCGGGCGACAGAGCCAGACTCCGTCTCAAAAAAAAAAAAAAAAAAAAAAAAAAATTAGCTGGGTTGTGGTAGTTGTGCCTGTAGTCCCAGCTACTCCGGGAGGGCCTGAGGTGGGAGGATCACTTGACCCTAGGAGGTCGAGGTTGCAGTGAGCTATGATCACTCGCATCACTGCACTCCAGCCTGGGTGACAGCAAGACAGTGTCTCAACAAAAAAACAAAACAAAAAACAAAAAAAACAAAACCAGCTACCCTAATAGTAAATCAGTAGGTAAAATTAAAAATTGATGAATCAAGGCCTATAATGAATACATTCCTTTTAAAATTATTTTTATTTTATTGTTAGAGCAGGGTCTTGCTCTGTTATCCAGGCTGGAGTGCAGGGGCGTGATCATAGCTCATTGTAGCCTCTGAACTCCTGGGTTCAGGCTGTCCTCCCACCTCAGCCTCCCAAGTGGCTGGCATTACAGGGGCATGCCACTACACGGGACTAATTTTGTTTGGTTTTTTTTAGAGACGGGGTCTTGCTTTGTTGCCTAGGCTGGTCTCAAACTCCTGGCCTCAAGCAGTCCTCCCTTCTTGGCCTCCCAAAGTGCTGGGGTTACAGGTGTAAGCCACTGCACCTGGCCCTACACATTCTTTTACATATACTGAGATAAATATGAATAAAAAGAACCAAAAAGGATTAAAATAGATACCAGCAGGGAACTAGATGAAAATAGGGAGGTGGAATGAGGGTTGGCTATGTTTATATAAGCCTTTTAGTACTTTTTAACTTGTCAGCTGGTCAGCATGCATAAAAATACGGAAACTTCAGATCGTTGTTAAACTCCTCAACATCATGTCTCAGGAAGTATTACTACCTGACTGATTTAACACTCTTCTATTCCAAAGAAAGATTTTGTTTATTTAAGGCCTTGTTCTAGAAAGTATTTAAGATTATTCCTTTCCTTAGCTCAGACCAGCTGCTTTCCGGTGCCTTAAAGTATCTTTAGCTCCTGATGCTGGGTTTTGTTTTTTTTTTTCCGCGACGGAGTTTCTGCTCTTATTGCCCAGGCTGGAGTGCAGTGGTGTGATCTCGGCTTACTGAAACCTCCTCCTCCCGAGTTCAAGTGGTTTTCCTGCTTCAGCCTCCCAAGCAGCTTGTTTTACAGGTGTCTGCCATCATGCCCGGCTATTTTTTTTGTATTTTTGGTAGAGACAGGGTTTCACCATGTTGGCCAGGCTGGTCTCGAACTCCTGACCTCAGGTGGTCCAGCTGCCTCGCCCTCCCAAGGTGCTGGGATTACAGGCGTGAGCCACCATGCCTGACCACTGTTTTTAAGTATTTCTTAAAACGTGTTTGTATTGTTTGTGCCTTGTATACTCCTTCACAGTAAAGGCCCTTTGTGATTTTTTAAGTGGCCCTCTGAATGCCTAGAACAGTTTTACATGGAAATGGGAATATGGAAATCACCTTTAAAATAAAATGAGAGAAAGTGATCCTTTCTAAAACCATAGAGAACATCTGATGTTTGAAAAACAAGGGCTGCACAGAGCTAGGAAATGATGAGGTGTGGTGTGTAGACAGATGGACATACTAGATACGTAGGGACAGTGGGAAGGAGATGCGCATACATTGGGACCAGATTAAAATGGACCTTGAATGCTTGAAGCTAATTTTGGAAATATGTTTTAGGCAGTCAGGAGCCAGCATAGGTTTTTAAGTAGGATAATGACAATGTTTGACATCAAAACACAGAATTTTATATCTAGAACTGTGTACAAAATCCAAAATTTTGTACACATCAGAGCTATGTGCAAAACAAATTGTCATAGAAAACAAACATGGAAGAGTACTATCTGAAAACATTAGTATTGATTATCTCTGCGGTAGGATTTTGGGTGACTTTTTATCCTTTTTACTAGCAAAAATATGTTACTTCATGGTTGTGGTACAAGGATACTTTCAATCATTATGGCCAGGCACAGTGGTTCACATCTATAATCCCATTGCTGGCCAGGTGCGGTGGCTCATGCCTGTAATCCCAGCTGAGAGGCTGAGGTGAGTGGATCACTTGAGGGTAGGAGTTCGAGACCAGCCTGGCCAACATGGTGAAACCCCGTCTCTACTAAAAATACAAAAATTAGCTGGGCGTAGTGGCACATGCCTGTAATCCCAGCTACTCAGGAGGCCTAGGCAGGAGAATTGCTTGAACCTTGGAGATGGAGGTTGCAGTGAGCCAAGATGGCACCGTTGCACTCCAGCCTGGGCGACAGAGCGAGATCCGACTCAAAAAAAAAAAAAAAAGTCCCAGTGCTTTGGGAAGCCGTGGTGGGAGAATAGCCCGAGGCCAGGAGTTTCAAGACTAGCCTGGGCAACAAAGCAAGACCCCATCTCTACAGAAACAAATTAAAAATTAGCTGTGTGTCATGGCATGCCTGTAGTCCCAGCTACTCTGGAAGCTGAGACAGGAGGATCGCTTGAGCCCAGGAGTTCAAGGTTACAATGAGCTATGATCATACTATTGCACTTTTCAACCTGGGCAACAGCCTGTCTCTAAAAATAAAAATAAATAGGGGCTGGGCACGGTGGCTCATGTCTGTAATCCTAGCACTTTGGGAGGCCAAGGCAGGAAAATCGCTTGAACCTGGGAGGCAGAGGTTGCAGTAAGCCAAGATCGTGTCAGCCTGGGCGACACAGCGAGACTCCATCTCAAAAAGTAAATAAATAAACAATTATTGTCATGCCGATGTTTTATTGTGAAATCCACAGCATCCGTTGCCTCCTGCTTCTCGCTCTTTTGTTTACTGGAAGGTAACTTCCTCCATAACAAAATATGGGTGGCACAGAGGATAAGGGACTTTCCCGAAGCACCTGACCTTCAACGTGGCCTTGTCTTCCAATTTGTTCTAGGACTGTTAAAGATTCACTCCAGCCAAGCCAGTCCCCAGCAGGCAGTCCTGACGATTCCCAGCCAGCTCAAACCACTCAGCGTAAACACGTCTGGAGGGGTGCAGACGATCCTAATGCCTGTGAATAAAGGTGAGTGCCTTGCCCACGGGCCTCTGTGCTGTGGCCGCTTCCACGTATCTCAGCATTTACCAGGTGGTGACTGCTCTGCCCATGTACAGCCACCCTTCAGCTATCACGGTACTTCCTGCACCTTGAATGCTACGCCTCCAACGCCGGGACTCAAAACCCAAATGTTCGTTGGCTTCTAAATAGCTGCCCTTATCTAAAGTTGAGTTGAAGGGGGAATATTTTAAGTGTTTATAAGAATTTACATTAATTGGATTGTTGTTTTCCTTTCTTTTTTTTTTTGAAACAGAGTTTTGCTCTGTCGCCAAGGGTGGAGTGCAGTGGCAAGATCTCGGCTCACTGCAACCTCCGCCTCCTGGGTTCAAGCAGTTCTCATGCCTCAGTCTCCTGAGTAGCTGGCTAATTTTTGTATTTTTTAGTAAAGACGGGGTTTCACCATGTTGCCCAGTCTGGTCTTGAACTCCTGACCTCAGAAGATCCACCTGCCTTGGCCCCCCAAAGTACTGGGATTACAGGCGTGAGCCACCGTGCCTGGCCTGGCTTGTTACTTTCTTAGTTTAGTGACAGGCTCCTGTTTCTACAGTTGAAGATATACCTCAGTTACCCTCATACCTAATAATCACCCACTAGTAAAAAGGGACTTTGCAATTCCTGTTGTCCTCAAGTTGTCTGTGTGCTGTTCATCTCATGTGGGGTTATCACCTGGGAGTTAGATCACCTTCATTAAAAATAATCTCTGTATTTATTATATCCCTCCCTCCTTTTCTCCCTTTAGTGGTTCAGTCATTTTCTACCAGCAAGCCACCTGCCATTCTGCCTGTAGCTGCCCCAACTCCAGTTGTCCCCAGCTCTGCCCCAGCAGCTGTTGCAAAAGGTACATAGGATCTCACAGAGTTCTTGTCCAGAAGTTTTGTTGTTTATCTTTTTTGTTGTCGTTCACGTTCTCTTCTGATGTCCAGAAGTTTTATGCAGGACATTACCATAATCTGAATCTTTTGAATTTTCAGCATTTGCAAATCAACCACTTGGCAAATGTGTCCTAAGTACTCATATGGTAGACTTAACATTGAGGGAAACACAGAGATGTATAAAGGATCATTTCTACCCTTTAATAAATTTATAATAAGGTTGAAAAGAATTGCTGTAGGCAGCAAGCAATCATTGATAAACACAAGACATGTGGCCAGGGAAATGATTGCTGAAATATTGCAGTTTGGGATGTCTGATCAGGGTTGGCAGGGGGTGTGGAGAAGGGCAAGACTTTATATTGACCATGGATTATAACCTGGACTTTAAAAGAGTAGAGGTTTTTTAGCTGTGGGGAGTCAAGGGGTATGCCAGATTAAGGACACAGGAGAGACAAAGACTCAGCTTCCCCTTTGGAGAAGTGGCAAGTTAGAGGGACTCATTTGGGGAGTATAGTGGTGGTAAAGGAGGTTTAGGTAGGGGCCAGACTTTGGCGAGCTGGCACTGGGAGACATTTCTGCCCACAAGAGTAGATCGGGATAGCACGGTGGATTAGAGCAACAAGCTGACATTGATAACATCAGTGTCCAAGCACAGGCGATCTGATTTTTGCTTTCTGCCTTGTGTCTCAGAACGCTAAGATAATGCTGAAAGTTGATAAACTAGCTGGAGAGATGATATTGGAAAGGTCACAATATTAGAACTTAGAACAAACCAGCATTGTACTTCAATGTAGCATTGTTAAATCACATGTGTGGGGAGGGGGTGAGGGATCTTACACAGCAGTATGGGTGGCCCTTTAAGAAATATCTGAGGAGCCATTTTATTGCCCCCGCCCTGTCATGAGGCTGGAGTTGTCCCCCCTGAGACCCAGGCTAACAGTTCTTCCCTTGTCTGATGACCCTGGGATGATAGGAGCCATCTCAGTCCCCTGGCTGTGTCCCCACAACAGCTGGAGTGGCAGTTTCCTTGCTGAGCTTCACTGCAGGAGCTTTGTTTGTGCCTGCACATGTCCTTCCACTGCTAACCCCTAACAGTTGCCTCTTTGTTGCTCTTGCCTTGTAGTGAAGACTGAACCAGAAACACCTGGACCGAGCTGCCTCTCTCAGGAGGGTCAGACAGCAGTGAAAACAGAAGAAAGTTCTGAGCTGGGAAACTATGTCATTAAGTAATTCTTCCAATCTTTCCTAAAGGAATTCCGCTTTGGGTGTTTGTCACACCTGTGACAGCTGAGTATGTGCAGAGTTGTGTGTGTAGCTCTAAGCCCTTGATGGGAGGAACTGTCTGTGCCTGTGTGGTGGACAAGTGATGCACAGCTGAGGGTCATCATTTTATACAGTGATGTGACTGGAGGTGGCACTTGATTTGTAGCCTTAGAAGCCTCAGATGGGATTAGACCTCCCTTCAGTTGAGGTTGCCAACGTGGGCTTTCTCTGCTGAGCCCCTGGGCACAAAATTTCTCCTGTTGCCATCACTCAGGTGTATACGTGCTTTGTGACTGGGTGTCCACACGCCTGCCTAATCTTAGCTGCCTCTTCATGGGCTATACACACTCTTTGCTTCTTCTAAAATGCTTTCTGAGGTTTCGTAATTTCTAAATCAGGAAGCTACTTCTGACCAGCTACTTTTAAGTATCTCAAACTGCTGGGGACAATAGAAACTTAGCCCTTTAATATGGTAGATGGAGGCGTGAACTGTAATAACCCTAAGATGGGCATACAGAATTTTTCTCCCCTAGTAGCAGTCACATTGCAAAAAGATTATATTGCTATTTAATTTTAAGGTGTAGATTTAACTGTCTGTAATATGCGCATAATCTTCCATTCCTGGGATCTTATTTAGTCTTGACATTTTTTTTTTAAGCATAGAACACCTTTCCTTTACAAAGAAGGTAATCTATGGAAGGAAAGACATGTTAGTATGATGTTTTTACATTATAATTCCCTCAGAATGGAATATATCCATTAAGTATATGGCATATATATGGCTATAGAAACTGCTACATGTATTTAATTTATTGCCTTATTTTTTTTTTATCCCTCTCAGGATAGACCATTTAGAGACTATCCAGCAACTCTTAACAGCAGTAGTAAAGAAGATTCCATTAATCACTGCAAAAAGTAAGACAATTACACTGAATATAGGGGTGCATTTTTTAAAGCCGTGAATTTAAGGTATTGAGTCAACTGAAATCACTTGGGTTTGTAAATTAATATTGATAATGGCAGTTACTTTATAAGGTTTCAGCTAGAGATACAGCTCATTTGCAAGGGTTTTAGAATTCATATGCAGTTAGTTTTTTATTCTTTTTACTGTGTTGTTCTTTAGAAGGAATGTTTTACATTTTTCATATGTAAATCATAAATTGTTTTGTATGCAGTTAAAACTCTGTATTAGCATTTGGCGTTTATGAGTGAGGAAAGCATTTAGTGTTTGCCTGCAGTGTACCAGGTCCTGTGCAGGCTGGGTACTTTCACTGTCTCATATAATCCCAGCCTCCTGTGTGGTAGCTGGTGTCATCTGCATTTACAGATGAGGAAACTGAGGATAAACAGGGTTGAATAACTTGCTTGAGATCACAGAGCCATGGGTGGTGAAACCTGTTTGACTCTAAGACCATTCATCTTTCCTCTGAAACCCAGTATTGCACACTGTAGAAATGCACAGTTTTTAAGACCTCCCAAAGTGGTGTGCTGTGTCACTCCCATCGTTAGCTAGATTGAGTAAATTGCTGCTTAGCCCCAGTTGTTTTGATAGAATCAGTAGCCCTTGCTGAGGGGCCAGCAGCCTGCGGACACAGGAGCATGCTCATGGGCAAGACCACTATGCACACTCAGAGGGAAGCCAGGGGCAGCCTCCACGCCACTCAGATTTGTAGGGCTCTGAACACGTACGCCAGGTACAGACCACCTACTTATTTTTTCCAACTGTAATAGCAAAGCAGTAGTCTCTAAGGTAAAGTTTGGGGGATCATTTTGATGTATCTCAGAATAAACTTTTGATGACAGTTTCCCAGCCTGACAGAAGAAATTCAAACAAAAATCTCTCTCATATATACGTGTTTGTGTGTGTGTATGTGTATATGTGTATATATATACGTGTATATATATACGTATATACACATACACACACATATATACACATATATATACACACACACATACATACACATACACACACACACACACACACACAGTTTTCTCTCTCCTTAAAAATACAGAATACAAGAGCCGGAAGGTAGTTCAGATACTATCTTCCCAGCTTTCTCAATTTATAGATAAGAAAACCAAGCTGGTTGCAGTGGCTCACGCCTGTAATCCCAGCACTTTGGGAGGTTGAGGTGGGCAGATCACCTGAGGTCAGGACTTTGAGACCTGCCTGGTCAACATGGTGAAACCCCATCTCTACTAAAAATACAAAAATTAGCCAGGCATGGTGGTGCATGCCTGTAGTCCCACCTACTCGGGAGGCTGAGGCATGAGAATCGCTTGAAACCGGGAGGCAGAGGTTGCAGTGAGCTGAGATTTGTGGGCAACAAAGTGAGACACCATCTACCATGGCCACCTTGTGAGTTAATGGCAGGTCCAGGGCTCCTAGTGGAGCGCCAGTCCCACAGACTTCAATAGCCTGTGGCAGTGATTACCTTCTCCACCAAAGAAGCCAAGTTCCCAAGAAGGTGTGTTGCTTTGAGTACACACGACAGGACGCCTTCTCTTCTGAGGAGACGCCCTGCTGTGTTAGGCTGCATCTTGCCCAGTAAGGAACATACATGCAATAAAGAGGTCTGAAGAAGTGACTGGCTTGCCTCCAGCAAATGATATATGATTGGAATCGTAAGAGCTTTATTCAGGATTTGCTGGGTATGTGCATTCTAGGTGAAGATGCCAGCTGCTTTTCTGCAAAGTCTGTGGAGCAGTACTATGGCTGGAACATTGGAAAAAGGAGAGCCGCTGAGGTAACCCACGTCTGCCTGTTCATTCTGGCTGCCTGCAGAAATCTTTTCTTAGGGAACAGAGATACAGATTGCAGCATATTTTGTTGAAATATTTGATGCAGAAGATTTTCTTCAGTTAAAAAAGTCTCATTTTTCAAAGACCTGTATCTAGCCAACTTTCAGGCCTGTCTTCTTTTCCTTCACTGGTAGAAACATCCCTCACAGTTTCTAACTTTTTTTCTGAGTTTCAGAATTTTAAATGAACTTGCGTATTGAGTCCTTACAGTGGGAAGGTGCTGTGGTCGGTTTAGGGAAAGTTGGGGTAGGAGGGGAAGTGGGAGGTCCTAGGTTGAGACCAGGTAAAAATCTTTAAGGGCCAAACCTAGGAGTTGCTGTTTTAGTTATAAGCATTAGGAAGCCGGTAGAAGTTCTCCTTTTTTTAAGTGGGGAGTAACACAATCAGGTGTTTTTTCTTAAAAAAAAAAAAATTCTAACAGGTTAAGTTAGGATGGTGATTTATGATTGCATGATAACATAGTTGTGTTAAGTGGAAGGATTTGATTATGGTTCCAAAAAAAATTTTTTTTAAGTGGCAAAGAGCAATGACAATGCGAAAAGTCTTACAAGAAATCCTGGAGAAGAATCCGAGATTTCACCACCTGACTCCCCTCAAAACCAAGCACATTGCTCACTGGTGCCGCTGTCATGGCTACACCCCACCAGACCCTGAGAGCCTGAGGAATGATGGGGACTCCATCGAAGATGTGCTGACCCAGATCGACAGCGAGCCTGGTAAGCCTTCAGTGGCACGGCCCAGAGCGCCTGGCAGCCTGGGGGCATTCGCTTAGAGGTGAGGATTTGGAAGAGGTGCTGTAGAGAACAAGAGCATTTCCTACCTCCTGCCATGTCCTCCCTGGGACCATGCAGTCCCCGTAGAGCTGTTGGTACCCAGGTATCTCAAGTATTGTGCCCCAGCCACAAACGTTCCAGCCCTTGCCATGCAGCAGGCTCACACTGTTCACTCCGGAGTCCCTGCTCGGCATCATTTCTTCTTTGAAGACTCCTGATCCATCTCCTTTCCTGCAGATCGAAGCAGCCTGCCCATCTTTTGTGACCTTAAGGACCCCCCCATGCCCCAGACAAGTCTGTGCTCCTTCTGTGAAGATGAGGCCTGTGTCTCATCTGTTACTTTATCTCCAAACCCAGCTTGGAGGCCGCCACCCAGTGTGGGAGGCACTTGTGAAAACTAGTAATGTTGCAGGTGAAATGAATTGTTTTATGATTTAAAAAAAAAAAAAAAAACAGACTACTGGGCCAGGCGCGGTGGCTCACGCCTGTAATCCCAGCACTTTGGGAGGCTGGGGCGGACGGATCACGAGGTCAGGAGTTCAAGACCATCCTGGCTAACACAGTGAAACCCCATCTCTACTAAAAATACGAAAAATTAGCCGGGCGTGGTGGCTGCCCACCTGTGGTCCCAGCTACTCGGGGGGCTGAGGCAGGAAAATTGCTTGAACCAGGGAGGCAGAGGTTGCAGTGAGCTGAGATTGCACCACTGTACTCCAGCCTGGGCTACAGAGCAAGACTCTGTCTCCAAAAAAAAAAAAAAACAGCAACAACAAAAACAGACCACTGCTGCAGGGCCATGGGATGTAAGACCAAGGGGTTAAAGATATGTAGGGAGAAGAAGCATTTTGAGTTTCACCTCCAAGAATAAGAAGGGTTGGGCCGGGCATAGTGGCTTACGCTTGTAATCCCAGCACTTTGAGAAGTCAAGATTGCTTAAGCCTCCAGGAGTTTGAGACCAGCCAAGGCAACATAGCAGGACCTTGTCCGTACAAAAAATACAAAAATTAGCTGGGTGTGGTAACTCGCCTGTAGTCCCGGCTACTTGGGTGACTAAGATGAGAGGGATCACTTGAGCCCGGGTTGAGGCTGCCGTGAGCCATGAGCACGCCACTGCACTCCAGCCTGGGCAACAGAGCCAGACCCTGTCTCAATAAAATAAAAAGAAAGGTTGTTCTCTGCTCCCAGCCCCATTTATGTAGAAAAACAGAAGCTCTGCCTCCCTGTCCAAGGAAACCTGGAGCACAGAGGTGGGGTTCCTTTAAGACTTAGGGCCAGGCTCAGTGGCCTCCCACTTTGGGAGGCTGAGGCAGGAGGACTGTTTGAGCCCAGGAGTTCAAGACTAGCCTGGACAACACGGTGAAACTTTGTCTCTACAAAAAATGCAAAAATTAGCTGGGCATGGTGGTGCACGCCTGTAGTCCCAGCTACTCGGGAAGCTGAGGCGGGAGGATTGTTTGAGTCCAAGAGGCTGAGGCTGCAGCGAGCTGTAATCATGCCACTGCTCTCCAGCTTGGGTGACAGCGCAAGACTCTGTCCAAAAAAAAAGGGCAAGTCCCGTTTTTGCCATTAAGCTTCTTGAGAGCCTGATGCAGGATGGCCTCTCCTCTCATCTCCTGCCGCGCTTTATATCAGCAGCATGAGGGCTTGTCTGACTTCGCTGTCTAAGCTACTCGGAGAGCAGAGACCGTATTGATTTCCCCGGGCTTCACTGACACTGTGTGGAAAGTACAGTACTTGCATGTACTAGGCTTCCTGTTAATCTGACTGATTACGAACAGCCCCTGACCTACAGTGGTTTGACCTGTGATTTGATTTTGTGACTTTACAGTGGTCTGAAAGCTGTAGGCATCAGCACAGGCCTTGACTTCTGATGGGATTGCATCCAGATAAGGCCATCGTAAGTTGAAAATATCCTAAGTCAAAAAATGATATTTTCAACTTAACAATGGGTTTTTCAGGATATAGCGCCATCCAGCATAACTTGAGGAGCAGCTGGAGCTCGTTAGAGCCCAGTCAGTAAAACCAAAGGGCAGAAACTGGGTGCCCTTAAATCTTGTACCTGGTGTGGACCTCACACACTCATCCAGAAAGTGGAAGGGCACTAGTGCCCTAGACCTGGCCTTAAGGTCCTCACACTCCTGATTAGGCTTTGTATAAATCGCCTTATTAGAAACTGGACCCATAATATACATTGAAATGTTAACAGTCCTGCTCTCTGAGCAGTGAGAATAGGGGTGATTCTTTTTATTTTCTTCACTCTGCATTTCTAAATTTTCCAAATTTGAGATGTAGAAAAATCAGGTCGGTCCTTAATACTCAGAGGGAGGGGGGTGGCCTGGTGTTTGGTGGTAAAAGTGAGATTTCTGTACTCTTTTGTCTTAGATGGCAGTTGCTTTACATAGATCACACACAAGATGCCTGTCTTTGTGCCTTTCTCCCTCATGAATTACTAGTTGTCATTATTATAGATCCATAGAATGTTAGAACTGGAAAGAAGGTCAGCTCCGCTGATGCTTTTCCCCCTTCCTCAGACCATGGGTCTCTTGGAGATGGAAACTCCTCTTCCGTTGGCCCCACAGCTGTCTTAACACTGCTCGCTTTCATTTAGAGTGCCCATCATCGTTCTCCTCTGCGGACAACCTCTGCCGCAAACTGGAGGACCTGCAGCAGTTCCAGAAAAGGGAACCCGAGAATGAGGAGGAGGTGGACATCCTCAGCCTCTCTGAGCCAGTAAAGATAAACATCAAGAAGGAGCAGGAAGAGAAACAAGAGGAAGTCAAGTTCTACCTGCCACCAACCCCAGGGTCTGAATTTATTGGGGATGTCACACAGAAGGTAGGGGTTGTGGTGTTAATAGTTCATGCAGCAGAACAGACTCAGAGCTGGACATTCAGACGTTCAGCCTCACAGACCCAGACTCAGACCCACACTCTTCTGGTGGTGTAAATGCTTGACTTCCTTCTGCCTGGTTGACCCAGGTGCGCTCTCTGGGCTCCCATCTTCCTGCATCAGAGCCCTTGGGCAGAAACGCTAATTACACGTGAAAAGGTTGCTTGTTGAATGCAGACTTGAAGCAAAGCTGGCTAGATAGAAACGGTTGATTACTCTTCATCTCATTTTTTCTCATCTGCCTCAGTAGAAGCACCTTTCCCTCATGAGGCGTGTCATATTTCTGAGTTGCGCGTCAGTGCAAAATCCTCCCCGATGTGTTGATAGGTCCTGAGTGCCCGGCCTGTGGTGCAGATGGCATGCACCTACCTTATTATACAGGAGAGAGGTATTTATCCACCCTGCTGGAGCCTAACAGCTCTTCAGCATCTGTCACTTGCTCAGGGCGTGAGGTGAAAGACAGTGTGCTTTCATTGGCTGCCATGAAAAATGGGCAAGATGCAGTTTCCAAGTGCAAACAGGACACTGGAGTCTTGATTCCAGACCTTCCAGAGTGGTGTTCGCTTATCAGAGCTCATGGCAGATCCCAACCAGGTTCTTCCACGAAGGAGATTTGAGAGTTAAAGTAGGATTATAGTCACATTTTAGAAATCAGCCAGAAATGTGGAAAAACAAGATAACATTCGTCTAGATGTCATATTCCGTGTTCCTTTCCAGTGAATTTTGCCCAGCATGTTTGCAGAGTCCTTCTTCCAACCAGGCATCTCTTTGGGTGTCAGAGAGTTATGCTTGTTTGGAGAGAGGCCGTTTTTAAAGCAGCGATACGAACAAACGGCTGTCTTCTGCTTTTCCAGATTGGGATCACCCTGCAGCCCGTGGCGCTCCACAGGAACGTGTATGCGTCCGTGGTGGAGGACATGATCCTGAAGGTGGGTGCTTCCAGGGGCCGCCAGCCAGGAATGGTGATTACATCCCAGGAGGTTTGGAGTAAGGGGCAAAGACAGAAAAGGAACAAAGATAACATGCTTTAAAATTTCTCATCTTGGCCAGGCGCGGTGGCTCAAGCCTGTAATCCCAGCACTTTGGGAGGCCGAGACGGGTGGATCACGAGGTCAGGAGATCGAGACCATCCTCGCTAATACGGTGAAACCCCGTCTCTACTAAAACATACAAAAAACTAGCCGGGCGAGGTGGCGGGCGCCTGTAATCCCAGCTACTCGGGAGGCTGAGGCAGGAGAATGGCATGAACCCAGGAAAATGGCGTGAACCTGGGAGGCGGAGCTTGCAGTGAGCTGAGATCCGGCCACTGCACTCCAGCCCGGGCGACAGAGGGAGACTCCGTCTCAAAAAAAAAAAAAAAAAAAAAAAAAAAAAATTTCTCATCTTATTTGGGCTTCTCTCTTTTTGTTTTTTTTCTTCTGATTTTTAAATGGACTAAGTTATATTTCCTCTGAGTACTCATGTCGCTCTGAAGATATTTTTCCACGTGGTTTCAGGTGCCTCCTAAGACATTCTGGGGGGTGGTGGTCAGTGCGCTCGTTGCTTCAGGAGGTGGCAGAGACAAAGCCTACGATTTTCCGTACATGTCACAACAGCAAACAGCCCAACTGTCCTGACCCTGGCAAGGGGATGAAAATGCCACAGCCTCCTTCCCCAGCCTGATCCTAGCTCAGGAGTTCCTTTCCTTGTGGATCCTCCCCAAGAATAGGGATACCTCAGTAACAACTGCTTTCCTTAAATACAATGTCTAGGGCTGGGCGCGGTGGCTCATGCCTGTAATCTCAGCACTTTGGGAGGCCGAGGCGGGCGGATCACTTGAAATCAGGAGTTTGAGACCAACCTGGCCAACATGGTGAAACCCCATCTCTACTAAAAATAAAACATTAGCCGGACTTGGTGGTGCTCGCCTAGTAATCCAAGCTACTTGGGAGGCTGAGGCAGGAGAATCGCTTGAACCAAGGAGGCGGAGGTTGCAGTGAGCCGAGATCGTGCCACTGCACTGCAGCCTGAGGAACAGAGTGAGCCTCCATCTCTCAATAAATAAATCAATCAGTAGAATAATGTCTGATTAATGAAAATCACTCCAATTCATAATTTCCCAGAAACATGGCCTTTATCACTATCATCTATTATTGAGACCTTTAATTTTTTCTTAAGGACTTTTCAATCCCTAGGTGCAGTTGTTTCAGACATTTGGGGTAAGGGATGGGGTTAGATGCGTCCCTTCTTGCCAGCAAGCAGATGGCCATTTGAAGAATAACAGCACCTTCCATTGTAGGCTACAGAACAGCTGGTGAATGATATCCTGAGACAGGCTTTGGCAGTTGGATACCAGACAGCTTCTCACAACAGGTATTACTATCTCTGCAGTCCGTGGTGTGAGGCTTATACCTCTTTCCTAACAGTTGAATTACCCATGAAGGTGTTTTATACTTACATCAATCCAGTAGGAGGTGGAGAGAGTGCTTAGGACACTCTTAGAGACAGATGAACTCAAGGGTCTGCTCTGTCATTTTTAGAGAACCTCGGTTGTGAAAGCTCACTCAGCTTTGCTCAGAGGTTTATATCCTCCTCCTCATTACTTCACAGACACCTAGGACTCTGTTTTATTACAGGGTTGAATAAATATTAGCTTTGCAATTAAACATAACAGTGTCCGTTACATGTCAGACATGAGGGCCAAGCATTGCATGTATTACCTTACTTGTTTTTCGTTGCAGAACTGTTATTCCCTTTTTAAAAATCAGGAAACCGGGCTTTGAAAGGTAATCTTACCCAGCTTTCCCAGAAAATACAGTGGCGACCTGGACTTCCGACTCAGGTCTCACTGGCTCTGAGGCTCCCGGGCTCGCCACTGCTCTTTGCTGACTCTCATTGTGTTCGATTGAGACACTGAGTTTCGGTCTTTTCCTAGGCCCTGAAAGAATGGTAGATAGGCCACATCTGCTTTTCTTTCAGAGGAAACGAATATTATTTTATTGCATTATGCTAAAGGCCGTCACAAATTTATAAAATTGTAGCAAAGTGCCTGAGGACATGAAGGGCCTAAATCAGAGGAATATTAGATGAAGCTTCACAGGAATATATCAGACAACATAGACGTCTTTAGAGAAAAGGAGGTGAACCAAGAGTTCCGGTCCTGCTGCCCGCTGTCCTGCTTGGACCCACAAGTGAGCCAGGGGCCTCCTGTGGCTCCTGCTCACCTCTGTGCTCCCTGTTCTGGAGGGGTAGAGTGACTTGGGTGCTTTTGATGGAACGATTAACATCACGCCTGGCCTGGCTTGACTCCATCTCCCATCTTTCCAGGAGATGGGAAATGCAGTCCCAGAGTTTTGTGGTGCTTTGACTCAGCTTTTGGTCTGCTGAGAGTCACTCACAAATGTGTCATTCCGTTCTGCCATCCACTTTGTTTTCTTTCTCTTTTCTCAGTTCTCAGAATCTTTTTTCCTAATCATTCAACCAACTTGTTGACATCCTTCTCATGCCTATGACTAGGAAGGCAGTCCCCACCCCAGAGTGGCCCTAAGCTATGTCTGTGGCTCAGGAGCCCTCTCCAGGGGGCCTCTGCCTGGGATGGTCCCTGTGGTGAGTTAAGTGAATGAATGATGAGATACGTGTGAGAGAATTCCACCTGGTAACACCCTTTGTTTTTTGGACCAGGATTCCCAAAGAAATTACAGTGAGTAATATTCACCAGGCCATTTGCAACATTCCTTTTCTGGATTTCCTCACAAACAAACACATGGGAATATTGAATGAGGACCAGTGAGCGGAGTGAGGTGCCCTGGAGAAGCAGGCTTTGAAGGCGCAGCGAAGCTGTAACTGAGGACCCTGCTGCTCGGGAAGGAGGTGGTTTCCAGTGCGCCTCGGGATGTCATGGCTACCCAACCATTGCCGCTCCTGTTCCCGCGTGCCACCAGCATGCTCCACTCCAGATGAAATCCATTGGACAGGAGTTTGTGTCCTCAGTGTGGAGTGAGGCTGTCAGTGGATACGTGCTTTGTCGGTCAACATTTCTGCAGTCTCTGTAAAGGCCCCGTGAGACTTGGGCCAGGCCATGTGCCTCAGGCCCTTCTCCCTGAGTGTGCTCATGGGGGCTCCTTGGGCCCGCCTCCCCAGGAGATAGAAAAGGAGTGGCAGGCTAGAGATTTGAACCATCTTGTGGGCTGGAGTTACCAGTAGCTCCAGCAGTTATCCTGAAGAAAGATTGGGCTTCAGCCTTCAGCAAGTGGTTCTCTCCCCTGCCTGGCCTTGGTGTGGAGGGGCTGTACTCTGAGCCCAAGTGAGTCAGCTATAGGAAGAGGCCATACGTAGAGCAAAGAACCAGGAAGGCCTGAGAGACGGCAGACTGAGCAGAATTCCTTTTTTGAGCACAGGAGCATTACTAGAACCATTGTCAAAGCAGTGGCAAGAGACGGAGAGGTCCCAACGGGAGTCGGGAAGAGCTTTGATTATAACCAAGAAAACTCTCACTATGCTAGGAATAGACAGCGTGCACCAGCCCCGGACACTTGGCAGAAGCGTAGCAGTGTTACACATGTGTGCGAAGCAGCTTGCAGGCTCCGTGCCATCTGCATGGTCTGCAGGAACTGCTGCTGCTGACCCCATGCTGAGTGGCCAGTGGGGAACAGCCCCCGGCAGGCTCTTCTGGGGTGGTCTGTCCTATCCGTGGGTTGTGTATCCTCTTCTCTGTTAAGGAGTTTTTCCCAAGAAGAAAAGTATTTAAAAGAAGTACCAGTGAGTGCCTTAAAGTTGGAGAAGTAACTGCCCATGCCCAGAAACAGGGATGCCAGTGCCCGGAAGCAGTGAGATTAGGCTGTGTCCACAAGCAGAGGACCCCTCGATGGGAGGGGGCGGCAGGCAGGAGAAGGAAGGCAAGCGGTGGCCGGGTCCATTGGAGGCGTCCCATCTCAGACTTCCTAACACGGCCTATGTGGAAGGCAGAACAGAGAACACATGCTCAGTCAGAAATCTGTTTCCTGTTCTGCTCAAGAAGAATCGGCAACCATTTGTCAGCCAATGTTTCTGCAGTCTTTGTAAAGGCCCGGGGCCAGGCCGTGTGCCTCAGGCCCTTCTCCCTGAGTGTGCTCAGAGTCAGTGAGTCAGAGTCAGAGAAACTTACCCAAGCAACATAATTCCTGTTTTCATGGGTCCTGTAGATGTTTGAGTCAGGAAGATAAGGCAGGGAGTGACTGAATAAACTCTGCCTTTTAAGTTGAGCATCTGGGCCGGTCACAGTGGCTAATGCCTGTTAATCCCAGCACTCTGGGAGGTCGAGGTGGGTGGGTCACCTGAGGTCAGGAGTTCGAGACCAGCCCGACCAACATGGTGAAACCCGATCTCTACTAATAATAAAAGTTAGCCGGGCATAGTGGTGTGTGCCTGTAATCCCAGCTACTCAGGAGGCTGAGGCAGGAGAATCACTTGAACCCAGGAGGCAGAGGTTGCAGTGAGCCAAGATTGTACCACTGCGCTCCACCCCTGGTGACAGAGTGAGAACGTCTCAAAAATTAATTCAGCATCTTGAGGGCTGCAAGTGCAGAAGGAATCTATTCTCAGTAGGGCATAGGGCATGCACTGGCTTAGCAGTTTAGTATATAAGGCTTGAATAGTCTATATGTGAACTGCTATAAGCAGGGTTGATAGGGAAGTGGATAGATTGCTTCAGCAAAGTGAACTGTGTGATCTCCAGGATGGAGGGAGAAAGATCTGATCCAAACGAGAACAGATTTGTTTATTACAGGTATGACAGCCTAAAGAAATTATCTTTTTGCAAAAGAAATATTAAATGATTTAGCAGTCTCCATGTGTGTTAATGTTTCAAATGTGTATCATAATGTGTATAATTGTGTAACAAAATTGTCTACAATAAATCTTTTGGTATTTGTGGTGGGTGTTTCTGAGTTTGAAGCGTGGTACTCAGGCAGGGTTCTCCTTGTACTGGGATGAGGTGACAGTGTAGATTCTTATTGGTATGTTTAAATTAATTCCTCTCTTTCTTGCCAAAAAAAAAAAAAAAAAGTGTTGCAACCATACAAGATAAAGGATTACAGTTACATAAAAGTCTAAAAAAAATTGGAAATGGACATAATTATTTCTGACGGCTTGGGGCAGAAGAAAACTGCATAAATGAGCTCAGAGCTTTCTTAAAGCCAAGGCAAAGAGAGAATCAGCTCCTGGTGTCTAACAAAGAAACATACCAGGTTACCTGGCAGGGTAAAGTTGGACGGTGTTGAGGTCTGAAAGAAGTTACTCCTATGACACGGTCCTTATGCTGTGACCATCTGCTAGCATATGGCTCAAAAATAAGGAAAAATCCAGAAACATCAGAGCTGAACGATTTTGAAATCTTTGGTTCTTCAAAGGCATTATGATACAGTCCAAGTATGTAACTTTCTGGGGACCAGACTTCGCTGAGAGTCAGAATGGAGAGTCGAAGAGTCTGGCGGCTGAGAGTTAGGGGTGTGCCTAGGCTCACCTTCATAAATGTTTATTGTCTCAGCCAAGGTTTTGGCAGAGCGATACAGCAGGCTCGGATCAGTGCCACAGGCAGTACCTTGAATGACTTGGACTCCAGGTTATTGATTGAAGGAGCCCTGTGTGAATCGGGCCAACAGAGCTGGGGTTGAGGCTTCATCTTGACCCTGTTCAAAGGGGAGGTTCTTCCATCTGTCGGGTGGGCTGCGGGGCCTGGCTTTTCTCAAAAGCTGCTTTTGGGAATGTGGCCTGAGTCCTGGAGTTGTGTACCATGGAGCACAGAGAGGCGAAACCTTGATGTAAATGCCTGCAAACCACCTTGACTTGTGGAAGGACCTTTAGGACTTTCCGCCTGCAGAGCGTCACAGCGCAGCCCGTGGCTGCTTGAGGCAGCTCCTGCAGTGGCAGCTTGGGTCGTGAAATAAACTTAACATTTTCTTTTGTCTAGAATTTACTAACAGGTTGAACTGCTTTTTACTTATTTATTTTGAGACAGTCTGGGCCGGGTACGGTGGCTCACGCCTGTAATCCCAGCACTTTGGGAGGCCGAGGTGGGCAGATCACAAGGTCAGGAGATCGAGACCATCCTGGCCAACATGGTGAAACCCCGTCTATACTAAAAATATAAAAATTAGCCGGGCATGGTGGCGGGCGCCTGTAATCCCAGCTACTCGGGAGGCTGAGGCAGGAGAATCGCTTGAACCTGGGAGGCGGAGGTTGCAGTGAGCCGAGATCGTGCCATTGCACTGCATCCCGCCTGGGCGACAGGAACAAGACTCCATCTCAAAAAAAAAAAAAAAAAAAAACACGGAAGCTGCTCTCCCACCCAGGCTGGAGTGCAGTGGCGTGATCTCAGCTCATTGCAGCCTCCGCACCCTGGGTTCAAACGAGCACGTCTGGCTAATTTTTGTATTTTTAATAGAGATAGGGTTTTACCATGTTGGCCAGGCTGGTCTCAAACTCCTGACCTCAAGTGATCTGCCCGCCTCAGCTTCCCAAAGTGCTGGGATTACAGGCATGAGCCACCATGCCCGGCTTGCTTTTTATTTTTAAAAACTTTTTCTTTACAGAATTATTACAAAAACATTTGTAGAAACTTTAGCAAGCATAAAAAAATGTGTTTTAAAAGCTCCTCCTAATTCCCCCTCTGAAAGATAATCACTGCTGACATCTCTCAGTGCCTGTCCGTCTGTCTGCTATGCGTATTATACATGTGTGTGTGAGATAGGTAGGAGTTGGGGCCACGTGGTTGAGACTTGTCTCAGTTGCTCTTGGATCACTTGCTGAACATGTTAGGCCTGATTAGACCTAAGTGAGTGGGAAGGAGTTTCATCAGAACCCACATCTCCTCATAAATAGAGAGGCCAGGCTGGGTGCCGTGGCTCACACCTGCAATCCCAGTGCTTTGTGGAGGCTGAGGCAGGAGGATTGCTTGAGCCCAGGAGTTCACAGCCAGCCTGGGCAACCATAGGGAGACCCTGTTTCTACAAAATTTACAAAAATAATAAAAAATGGCCGGGTATGGTAGCTCAATGCCTGTAATCCCAGCACTTTGGGAGGCCGAGGTGGGCGGAACATCTGAGGTCAGGAGTTCAAGACCAGCCCGGCCAACATGGTGAAGCCCTGTCTCTACAAAAATTAGCTGGGCGTGGTGGTGGGCGCCTGTAATCCCAGCTACTCGGGAGGCTGAGGTGGGAGAATATCGCTTGAATGTGGGAGGCAGAGGTTGCAGTGAGCCGAGATTGTGCCGCTGCACTCCAGCCTGGGCAACAGGGGGGGAAAAAAAAAAAAGCCAGGCATGGTGGTGGCATGCCCTTATGGTCCCAGCTACTTGGGCAGCAGAGGTGGGAGGATCGCTTGAGCCCAGGAGGTTGAGGCTGCAGTGAGCAGTGATCACACCACTGCAGCCTGGGCGACAAAGCGAGACCGTCTTGGTGATGAGGATGGTGCACCCTCAGAGGAGCACTGGAGTTAGTGTTTGTGAAAGGCTGTATGCTGTGCACTGCAGGGGCTCTTGCCCATTTGTTTGCCTTGCAGTCAGGCCTGTCTGGTGTGGTGAGGCCTCCGCTGCGGCTACCCCAGCAGCACTGCCAGGAAGGGGCAGGCCTGGTTGGTCCTGGCTGAGGCGCAGCAGAGCTGGCCAGCCCATTATAGGAAAAGAACAAACGAGCATCCCAGGTGCTGTGCAGGGTGACATTGGCCAGGGGGTGGTGAGGGGCTGTGAGCACAGGGCATCAAGCTAGAGGACACTGGGAGCAGCAGGTGGGAACAGAGCTGGCTCCAGGGAAAGTGAGGAGGGGGGACTAAGGCAGGAAAGAATAATCCTAACACCTGTGTCTCAGTTATTTCCTGTACTGAGCACCCCACCCATAAACACGGATATTCTCAGCAAGTTACAAAATGTAGCTGGTAGCGTCCTCGCTTTTCGGGCCAAGAAACAGAACCCCAGTTGCTCACAGGTAGCGAGTGGAGAAGCCAGGATTAGAGCCTGAGGAGCTTCAGAGAGCCCCTTTACCCAAGGCGCCTGGGTGAGGGTGGGCGACAGGGTGGGTTCTGTGGCCTGCACCTAACACGTGCCCTGCAGCCCACACAGCAAGAAGTGCTCAGGATCAACAGGCCTCTGAGGTATGGAGGCAGCTGGGCCCCACTGAAGTCCTTAGCACCAAGAGACCGGAGAAAGAAAGCATGAGAAAACTCGTGTTTACAATTTAAGAAATTGAAACTGTACATTTTTGCATTTTAGTAAAACTGAGATTGTACAGTTTAATCTCATTTCCACAGACACCCAGCAGGCAGCCTCTTTTCTCTTAGAAAAATCAAACATGCAAGCCGTGAAGTCTGAAATAGCAGAACCCCTTGGATAAGCACACGGTTTGGACTTCTTTAAAGTGAGCCTCTCAGCATTTCCTTTGCTGGCATGAGGGGAGGGCTATGCCTGCCAGGGCTAGCACCTGGAAGGGACGCTGACAGGCAGCCTGAGCTGGAACCACTGTCCCACCTGCACGTCTGGTGGCTCTGAGACCCGAGTGGAGTGCCACCATCTGCAGCTTAAATGCTCGTCAGACTAGAGCCACTTGTGGGCCGGAGAGGAAGAAAGATCCAAAGGGAAATCCACAAATTTCCTTACTGAAGACGGTCCTGAGCTTGTGCCTCTAAGCTTTAAAAAGGGATGTAGACCCTTCAAATGTGTGAAGGGCTGCTGTGCAAAAGGGACCAGGCGTGACCCATGTGGCCATGCTGGCTGGAATTTACGGAGAAAGTTAGGAGAGAGCTTTGCAAAGAAAATGAACTGCCTCTTCAAAAGGTGGTGAGTTCCCTGTCACTGTACATGTGAGCAGGGTAGACAGAAGGGGAAGGGTTGGTGTCGATGACATTTGAAGGTATTTCAGGGAATGAGACAATGCCACCTTCCCAAAAACAGTCCCCGTTCTTAGCCAGTGTGTATGGTAGTGTCCTTCTCGTCATCCTTATGTTAGGGGGGGAAATAATTAGTAATAAAATGTAGATGCAGTCTTTAGACACCTACCACAAGGTAAATGTGATTCATTCAATCCCAAGAAATGTTTTGTTAAAACATGAGGCTCATCTTGGCCATAAGGAGGTCTGTGAAGTGGAAGTCCGTGACTGACGGTCTGTTTCTTCCAGAAATTTCCTCCTGGATACTCAGCATCACCATGAGTCATGCAGGTGATGGCCCAAGATTCCTACAGCTTCAACTGCAGGGGCCATTTGTAGGAAGAGCCAAGGGTCTCACCATAGGTTATAAAATTAATCAAGTGCTCATGCATCCTGGGAAATCCACCAAAAGTGGACATAACTGGTTCTTTCAAGGGCCGGATGTGTCCACATTCCTTAGCTTCCATGGACCAATTCGGTTCCCAACTGACTTGCTCCTCAGGCTCCTCTGATTTCAAAACCCAGAGATGGACAGATGGCAGTTACGAACGCGGGAGCCTTCCACAGGCTTCTCAAGAGGACGCTTGAGGCTGAGCTGAGCTGGGTGTGCCAAGTCCATCGATGCATCTGCCCCACACCAGCACGTCGGCCCTGGTGACAGCTTTGAGAGGGGCTGTGCCCTCCTGGAGGGGCCCATGCCATGCTCTCGCCCAGCCCCACGGTAGTGGGTCCTGAGGCGGCTCCCCAGCCCTCTCCTGTCAGCAGCCACGGTGTCACGGTGCAGGCAGTCACACGTTGAGAATCCGGGGAGCTGAGGCCTGAAAGATGGCGGAGGGGTTAGGAGTGAACTTCTTCCTCACCTCTGGGACCTGAAAAATGGAGTGTGGCCACATATCAGCGGGACTTTTCCTTACCTCCCTACCCCCCAGCTCCAGGAAAAAATCCCCTCCCATCCTCTAGGAGTCCAGACCCGAAGGGTCAGAGGGGACTTGCTCACCGTGAGCCGTAGGCGTCATGGCATTAGTGGCTCAGTGGCACATGGACCTTCCATTCTGCTCCCTGAACCACCTGGGAATCGGGGAGCCGAGGTGCCCCCACTCCCTCCCATCGCCTCTTTCCTCTTACATAAATGCTCCGATACTCGGGCCAAGGGTAAGACGGGGATTTAGGATGCAGAGACCCTGCTCACCAGAGAGGCCAACACTAGAGGGCCACCCAGCTGGCTAATGATGAAGGAGTACCTTGGGTTTTTGTTCACGACATCTGGTTGGCATTGCTGTCCCTGGTCATAATTCCATTTTACACCATGAAAATCTGGCTCCTAATCCCTACCCAGGTAAAGAGGCTTCTATACCCACACCTCTGCCGCACCAGCTTCAGGCTGACCTGGAAGCCGGCCCCAGGGCTGCTGTCCCATCCCGAAGTGTGGGTTGTGATGACTCGGGCTGGTTTTGCCTTTGTGGCTCTTGAGGGCTTCACTCCAGTCCAAGCCTGGAATTCCTGTCTGGAACAGAGAACACGGTCACAATCTTGCACAGGGGCAGCCATCCCTTTACCCGACTCCCCAGGGGCTGCTGCTCTGCCCCATGCACAGCCCTGCCCACTGCTGAGACCCTCAGCTCCAGGCGGTCCTTATCCTCTTCCCAAAAACAGAACTGGCAAGGCAAGCGCACTCCCGCGCAGGCCCAGCTCCGGGAAAAAGCAGGTGTGTGGCCGCCCGGCCCCTCACCTCAGTGATGCACTGGGAAATCTGGGCTCACCCCAGCCCCTAAGGAAGTAGGAAAGGAAGTTTATTCTCACACTGCAGGCGAGCGCAGGCTCAGGGCAGAGCTCATTCAGCACCTGCGTCTCATCCAGAACGCGCCAGCACCTGGTACTGCTGGGTCTTGGAGATGCCCAGCCCCGGTGCTCTCCCTGCACCCCTGCAATTCTCCCACGCCTGCTCCTCCAGAGCCAGGCTGCTCCAAGAGACCCAGGTCATGGTGGCCACTTATACCTGTAGAGGAAATGCCCCCAGCACCAGGCACAGCCCTGGCTCACCAGACCCGCTTAAGACTGAAGAGAAAAATAAGACTCAGAACTTAGTTTTTTATACTTTGTCTCATTAACTCATGCAGAAGAATGGATCGCAGTGACCATCTCAAAAGACTCCAAGGTGGCCTGGCCTTTGCACAGCTCCGTGCATGGTGGAGGGAGGGAGTGGATCATGTGCTCCTGCTCAGCCTGTGGCGGGGAGGGTGGTGTGATGGGGGAAGGCGGCCCCTGGAGGGAGAGGATGAGGCTGGCGCCGCTGGCTCCGTGTCCTGGGAGCAGCTTTTCTCCATGAAAAGACAGTGCTTCCATTGCTCTGAACACAAGGGACCTCCTTTAATCCTACCCACTGCTCTGTAAGACGGGGAGCTCAGAAGGCAGAAGTCCTTGTGTCCCGGGAGCACCTGACCAAGGTGGAAGTGTCCAGCTAGCTGGGCCCGGCACCCACATGAGCGCGGGATTGCTCCTGCCCAGGCTGGACTCTGCAGGGGTTTGGCTTCAGGCCCTGAGGTCAACAAAGCTGCCTTTCTCCTTGGCAGCTGCACAGCTGGGGCACCACTGGGCAGGCTGTGTGGGCAGGGAATGGCTGTGTCCATGGCCAGCACTGGGGTGCCAGGAGGAGAGCTGGGCCGGGGCCCCATCAGGTAATTTTCACTCCCGAAGCTGTGAGGTTCTAAAGACCAGCTGCCTAAACCATCTGCTGCCCTGTTTCTCCTGGGGAAGCAGGTCCTCCCCTGGGCGCGCCCTTCTGTCCCCAAAACACTTCGCGTGCCCATGCTGAGCCCTGGCTCTGGCATCCTGAGCCTGCTGCCCTGAGGTGGCTGCAGGGGTCCCAGAGCAGGAAGTGACCAGAGCCACAGACTACAGCAATCCTGGGGGCCGCCAGAGGAGGGAGTCAGGGCTGGCGTCCAGATGGGAGAGGGGATCTTAATGGAATCGGCAGGACCCGGTGACTGCCTGGAGAGAAAGAAAACAGACTAATGCTCAGGCCAAGAAGACCAATAAGAAATACAGGCCCCCTGCCTGCGATGCCCCCCTCACAATGCTCAAGCATGTCCCAGCATCAGCCCCGGAAGGAGGATTGGGAGGCCTGGGTTCTCAGCCCAATATGGTTTCAGACAAATTGCTCAACTTCCCTGAGCCTCAGTTTCTTCTGAAAAGTGGGGCTGCTGTCCCATGTGCCTGAGGTCATTGTGAGTCTTTGTATCGGGCACTCAGTAAAGTGGGGCCGAGTCTTGTGGAACTTGAACGATCAGCCCTCTAATTGCCCCGCCAAGGAAGGAAGGACGGAAGGAAGGAAGGAAGGAAGGAAGGACGGACGGACGGGAGGGAGGGAGGGAGGGAGGAAGAAAGGAAGAAGGGAGGGAGGGAGGAAGGAAGAAGGGAGGGAGGAAGGGAGGAAGGAAGAAGGGAGGGAGGGAGGGAGGAAGGAAGGAAGGAAGGAAGAAAGGAAGAAGGGAGGGAGGGAGGAAGGAAGAAGGGAGGGAGGAAGGGAGGAAGGAAGAAGGGAGGGAGGGAGGGAGGAAGGAAGGAAGGAAGGAAGGAAGGAAGGAAGGAAGGAAGGAAGGAACGAAGGAACGAAGGAAGGAAGGAAGGAAGGAAGGAAGGAAGGAAGGAAGGAAGGAACCAGAGAGCAAGGACTGTCTTCCAGAAGTGGGCAGGGCTAGCACCTGGGCCAGAGGTGCTGGAGAGAATTCGGAGGGAGCCTGTCAGGTGGAAGGAGCAAGGCTGGCTGTGGGTAGGACCTGCTGTGCCCATGTGGCCAGGCAAGCAAGGCAGATCAACTCACATGCCGACCAGAAGCCAGCAAGGCAGGCCCTGCAGGGGTGAAGACGTTGAGGCCTGGGGATCCTGGGTAACCCTCAAGAACCTTGAGTTAGGAGTGGCCTCACATCTTCAGGATTCCTGGCTCCGTTCGTTTCCTTGGCTTTCTGAATTTCTTAAAAGTTTGCTTAGATGATGTGCATCTTGCAAGACAAAGCTGGATGGAGTGGCTTGTGCCAGGTCCCAGAGCTGGAGGGTGGGGGTCCCAGAGGCCCGCTGGCATGGCGCTGGGGGGGTCAAGTTCAACAGTGATCCTGTGTTTCTGTCCAAATTGGGGGCAGGGGTCCGGGCAGCCAAGCTTTTGCTATTCCTGCTTTTTGGATGAAGAAAGGGTCAGAAAGGCTGACCCGGCCAGGTGCGGTGGCTCACTCCTGTAATCCCAGCACTATGGGAGGGCAAGGCAGGAGGATCATGAGGTCAAGAGATCGAGACCATCCTGGCCAACATGGTGAAACCCCGTCTCTACTAAAAATACAAAAATTAGGCCAGGCACAGTGGCTCATGCCTGTAATCAGAGCACTATGGAAGGCCAAGGCGGGCAGATCACGAGGTCAGGAGATGGAGACCATCCTGGCTAAGGTGGTGAAACCCCGTCTCTAGTAAAAAAAAATCCATAAAAATTAGCCAGGCATGGCAGCAGGCACCTGTAGTCCCAGCTAGTCGGGAGGCTGAGGCAGGAGAATGGCATGAACCCAGGAGGTGGAGCTTGCAGTGAGCCGAGATCGCTGCCACTGCACTCCAGCCTGGGCGACAGAGTGAGACTCCATCTCAAAACTAACTAAATAAATAAATAATAAAAATACAAAAATTAGCTGGGTGCGGTGGTGCGCGCCTGTAGTCCCAGATACTCCAGAGGCTGAGACAGGAGAATTGCTTGAACCCGGGAGGCAGAGGTTACAGTGAGCTAAGATAGCGCCATTGCACTCCAGCCTGGTGACAGAGTGAGACTCTGTCTCAAAAAAAAAAAAAAAAAAAAGAGGCTGACTCACCTGAATTATTTACACACCAGGAGGTAAGAACTCCAACAAGCCCTGACTCCTGTCTGTCAAGGCTTTTCCATAGCTGGCCTGAGGACACAGTTCAAGAAAGCAAGTGACTCCAAGGAGGCAGCTCTTAAGGGATGAAAACCCTTGGGGGCTACAAGTTTGATCTCTGGGGCAAGTCACATGAGTTCCACTCCCTTCTCTGCCATTCAGAGCTGTGCCAGCCACTCAGTTTCCTCATCTGTAGAATGGGGACAGCAAGCACTACATGAAGGCCACAGGGCTAACCTGAGGGAGTGCTGAGCCTGGTGTGCGTTAAAGCAGAGAAGGTGACAGCTAGCACCTTTACCGTCACCAGAGCTGGGAGAGCCCGGCAGGACATTCACTAACCATATGTTCCACACAGATGAGGTACTGCTTTTTTTTTTTTTTTTAGGGGGGTGGGGACAGAGTCTTGCTCTGTTGCCTAGGCTGGAGTACAGTGGCTCTGTCTCGGCTCACTGCAACCTCTGCCTCCTAGGTTCAAGGGATTCTCCCGCTTCAGCCTCCCGAGTAGCTGGGATTACAGGTGCGTGCCACCACGTCCAGCTAATTTTTTGTATTTATAGTAGAGATGGGGTTTCACCATGTTGGTCAGGTTGGTCTCGAACTCCTGACCTTGTGATCCACCTACCTCAGCCTCCCAAAGTGCTGGGATTACAGGCTTGAGCCACCACACCTGGCCCCCCGCTTTTTTTTTTTTTTTTTTGAGACAGAGTCTTGCACTGTTCCCCGGCCTGGAGTGCAGTGGGGCAATCTCTGCTCACTTCAACCACTGTCTCCCAGGTTCAAGCGATTCTCCTGCCTCAGCCTCCTGAGTAGCTGGGATAACAGGTGCCTGCCACCACACCCAGCTAATTTTTAGTAGAGACAGGGTTTCACTATGTTAGCTAGGCTGGTCTTGAACTTGTGATCTGTCTGCCTCAGCCTCCCAAAGTGCTGGGATTACAGGCGTGAGCCACTGCACTCGGCCTCTTTTTAACTTTTAAATAAAACATAATAATAACTTCTGTGATAAGCATCCTTACTGCTAAATCTTTGTTCATATCATCATTTCTTTGGGATAAATTCCTACCTGTGGAATTAAAGAGCCAAAAGGTATGAACTTTATCCCCACAATTTTATTAGTTTTAAAAACCAAGCTGGGCACAGTGGTTGATGTTTTTAATTCCAGCACTTTGGGAGGCTGAGGCAGGAGGATCACTTGAGCCCAGGAATTTGAGAAACAGCCCAGGCAACACAGACCCCATCTCTTAAAAAAACAAAAAACAAAAAAACAGGTGTAGTGCCCGCCTGTGGTCTCAGCTACTCAGGAGGCTGAGGTGGGAAAATCACTTGAGCCTGGGAGGTTGAGGCTACAGTGAACTGAGATCATGCCGCTGCACTCCAGCCTGGGCAACAACAAAAAACCCCCCCAAAAACCCCAACCATATCAAGGCATTATTTCCAAACCATACAATTCATCCATTAAAAACGTACAGCTGGATGACTTTTGAAAAATGTATCCACTTGGGTACCACCACCATTATCAAGACACAAAGAACATTCCATGTCCCCAGGAGGAGGCTCCCTCATAGGTCCTCACTTTGTAAGGAACTCGCTGGGGGACAGTGGTTGCAGGGTGGGTCTTGCATTCCCTGACACGTCCTCAAGCTGAGCTGCTAAAGCTGGAGTGGGCAACACGGAGCCGCAGTGCTCAGGCCCTAGCCAGCTGGAGGAGCCTGAATGGCGGAGAGTCTGGAAGGCCAGAGGTCCTGGGAGTGCAGCGCATTCCAGTGGCTGAAGTTCCAGGCACCAGAGCAGGGCAAGGGGTGGAGCTTGCAGGGCGGCAGCTTCAGCTTCGGGAAGGAAGCGCTTTCTGTTAGTTACAGCAGTCTGACCATGAAGCGAGCTGATTTGCACGGCGCTGGGCTCCTCTTTACTAGGGATGTTCTAGCATAGGCTTAGCTTTTATTTATTTGAGACAAGGTCTTGCTCTGTTGCCCAGGTGGATTGCAGTGGCACAAACACTGCTCACTGTAGGCTTGACCTTGCAGGTTTGAGGGATCCTCCCACCTCAGCCTCCCAATCAACTGGGACCACAGGCAGGCACCACCACGCCCAGCTAATTTTCTATTTTTTGTAGAGGTAGGGTCTCACTATGTTGCCCAGACTGGTCTTGAACTCCTGGGCTCAAGTGATCCTCCCACCTAAGCTTCCCAAAGTGCTGGGATTACAGGTGTGAGCCACCATGCCTGGCTGGCTTAGCTTTTAGAAGCAGTCCCTCAGCCAGGCACGGTGGCTCATGACTATAATCCCAGCACTTTGGGAGGCTGAGGCGGGTGGATCACGAGGTCAGGAGTTCGAGACCAGCCTGACCAATATGGTGAAACCCCGTCTCCACTAAAAATATAAAAAATTAGCCGGGCGTGATGGCGCGCACCTATAATCCCAGCTACTCAGGGGCTGAGGCAGGAGAATTGCTTGAACCTGGGAGGCGGAGGTTGCAGTGAGCTGAGATCGTACCACTGCATTCCAGCCTGGGCGACAGAGTGAGACTCCGTCTCAAGAAAGAAAAAGATCAAAAATAAAAATAAATAAAAATTAGCTGGGCATGGTGGCACAAGCCTGTAATCCGAGCTACTCGGGAGGCTGAGGCAGGAGAATTGCTGGAACCAGGGAGGAAGACATTGCAGTGAGCCAAGATTGCACCACCGCACTCCAGCCTGGGTGACAGAGCGAGACTCTGTCTCCAAAAAAAAAAAAAGTTAAAAAGATAGGTAATGCATGGTCGTGTTACAAGGGGAAAAAAAGCAATGGTTCAAAAGAGCAGAGTGAAAAGCCTTCTTCCACCCCTGGCAGTCCCCATCAAGTTCCTCTCCCTAACGGTACCATCTCCTCAGACATCCATCAGAGGCATCTTGTGCTTATTTGAGCATATGTGTGTGTATTAATACCCCTTTTTAAAACACAAATAGCCTACGTGCTGCTGTGCACCTTGCTTTTTTGGTATGCGTATATTTAAGATCCGCTGGGCTTCAGTATCCCATTCCATGGCTGTGCTATAATTAACCAGTTCCCTACATCAGCAGGACAAGGGGGTTGTTGTACAATGTCTCCACGTATCTTACACTCCTGAGCTCCCCCATTACCTTTTGGATACCTATCGGGAAAATCCCTACTAGTGAAATAGCTGCACCAAAGGAAAGGTAGTGCTTTTAATAGCCCCACATTAGAAACACCCTAAAGAGTCAATGGTAAGGAAGTAGATAAAACTTTAAGATATACAGGCATATCCATAGGATAAAATACTGCACGTTTATTAAAATTCATGTTGCAGAACATCTAGTAACATGAACAGACTTCTACAACTGGTGAAAAAAGTGTACAGTAAGACTCTAACCATGTAAAAATATATCGGCATATGCACCAAATGCACGTTACGAAGTAGAAAGAACTCATCTGGGGAGGGATTAAGGAGATAATTATTTTGTTGTAATGTCTGTACTTTCCCATTTTTCTACAGTATGAATTACTTTTGTAATAAGAGGGGAAAAGGGAGACAGCCCTCGGTAGGAGCAGAGCTGGGCTGGGAGGCGCAGAGGGCCCGCAGACCCGCCCTTCCTGAAAGCCAAATCAGCAGCCCCTGTCACAGTGGGACGCTGAAGGGCTCACCCACTCGGGACCCTGCGCTCGGTCCTCACCACCAACGCCTCCACAGAAGGCAGTGACCGGAGGCAGCTGGGGGACTTGGCCTGCGCGCACGCCTCGCACGGCTAGGCCCGGCGGTGGGAGTTAAAGGGAGGCCGATTCCAACTCGGCTGAAGGCAGGCCATTCTGACGGCTGCCCCCAGGAGGGCGGCTGCACGCTCCCGGCACGGAGGTGTTCGAGCAATGAGTCCGGGCACGCAGCAGCGAAGGCGACGCCTGCAGTGCCCACGGACCAAAGCGGGTGACCTCTGAGGCTGCCGGCAGCTCCGAGGTCGCGTGGGATTCGGGCTCCAGGAGCCTCCGCTCTCCCGCCCACCCCATCTCGCTGGCTCCGGGCCTCCGCGTCCTCCCACCACAAGGTGGGGACTCGCTGCGGCCCCTACCCAGCCCATACCTGTACGACGTGGTCGCTGCTCCAGTCGCGTCCGCGTCGCCGATGGGCAGCACGTAGACCCCGCGGGCGCCGGGCGCAGGTGGCGCAGAGGACTGCGCGGAGGATTTGCTCCTGCGGCCGCCTGCCCCCGGTCCGCGCCCCGGCTGCTGATCCTTGGGCCCGGCGTGCGTCGTCCACAAGCCGAAGTCCCGCTGGTATTGAGTGAGCGGCACGTCCCGACCGGGATCCCGGGCGCCAGCGGCAGGCTGGCCCCTGCGCGAGGCGGCGCCGCCCGGGCCCGGCTCCTCGCTGTCGAGGTCCGAGTAACCGTGAAGGGTCAGCGGCACCGCCACGTCGGAGCGGTCCAGCTGGTTCCAGCGCCGCGCCAGGCAGCACAGGCGGCTGATGCAGGGCCACGCCATGCCAGCCCCGGCGCCCGCCGCCCCGCTCCCGGCGCGCGGCGCTCCCGGCCGCGCCTCCTGCGCCCAGCGTCCCCGCCCCCGCGGCCCGCCTCGCGCCGCCGCAGCGCCGTCCCCCGGCACGGGGGTGGGCGTCCCGGGAGGGGGCGCACTCGCGGCAGCCCCACTTGGCCGGGGCCGGTTGCGCACGGCTGGAGCTGGAGGGAGCGGGGACGGGGGAAAGGCTGCACCGTCGCCAGGGGGCACCGGAAACCGCCTGCAGTCATTTACAAGTGTCCATCTCGAAGAATACCTCCGAATTGAATCCAAAGTTCCCTCAGTGTCATCTTATAAATGGCCCCGGCTTCGCAGAGGCCGACGGCCGGATGGTCGCAGGCAGGCGCAGTCCGCCAGCTGGGGGGTTCTCCACGTGGCCTCGGGACGCCCGGCAACTGCTGCATTTGTGCCAGGCTGCACCTCAGGGACTCCGCGAGCACAGGGGCAGGTGCAGCAAAGAGGGTGTCAGGAAAGACTCGGGGCCCTGCTTCCTGGAGAACACGTGTTTCAGTCAGCCTGTGAGTCGCCGCCTATTTGCCTTTACGATGCTAGTCTACATTTGTGACAACCAATCCACTTTTCATTAGAATTGGCATTAGCCACCAATCGACCTTGTCCTAGGTTCTGAAATTCCTAATTTTAAAGCATGGCCATTGCAAAGGCTTTAGTTTGATAAAGGGGCCACAGAACTGGCCACTAAACTATCAAGTTCCTTTCCTCCTGCGCATGCATGGCTGTGTTCAGACAGAGCTGTTGAGGGATCCTCCAGCGTAAAGGCAGGTCTGTTCAATGCAGGACACGGCCTCAAACAACTCCCTGACCACCCACAAAAGCCTTTCTGAATATTTGAACGTGCTCTCGGTATACACTGCAAGCCAATTACTAATAACACTACTGAGACAGCATTAATTACCCAGAGCTCCATTTCAAGATTGTACTTGGAAGGTATCCAGTCTGCGCCTGCAGTACATCCCTGGCCAGTCAGAAAACAGATTCATCTCCCAAAACACTGCCTGCCTTAGCTTGAAGTTGTAGCAAAGTGACATGACAGCTGCCCAGAAGTGGCAGCAGGTCAGCTGAGCAGGCCAGGCCGTGGCTCAGCAGGCAGCAGCCAAGGCGCCACGTGTAGGGGGAGACCCTGGAAGATGACACACAGGCCCGCGTAAGAGTGAACTGCCTTTGTGGACTGTGCGCCACAGCCCTGGGTTAGCCAGCCTGGCAGATGGCACTTGGCACTAAAATTCTCCATCTCGCAGGAAAAGAGAACAGCTCTCTTTTTATTACTTCATTGATCCAACAACAGTCAAAGAGCACTTACTATGTGCTAGGAATAATTCAGGGTGCCTTCAGGAGGTTTAGTGTGGTAGTGACGGACGGAAGTAAGTATAATTGAACTGACGAAGCCAGGTCAGCATGAGAGGGAGGCGGGTTGGGGAAGGCTGGACTTGCCACCTGTTGTGAGGGAGGGTGGTTGGGCCAGGTGGGAATGTAGGTCACAGGGAGGAGGGTTCAGCTGAGGTAGCAGATCATGGAGGGTCTTGGCAGCCACACTAAGGAATTTGTTTTTCATATTGCTGGATGCGGGTGGCTCATGCCTGGAATCCCAGCACTTTGGGAGGCTGAGGCAGGAGGCCTGCAGGAACCCAGGAGTTTGAGACCTGCTTGGACAACATAGTGAGACCCTGTCTCTATAAAAAACTTGTAAAAATTAGCCAGGCCTGTGCCTGTAGTGCCCGCTACTTGGAGGCTGAGGCTTGAGCCCAGGACTTCAAGGCTACAGTGAGCTATGATTGCACCACTGAACTCCAGCCTGGATGAGAGAGAGACCCTGTTTCAAATAAATAAAAGTTTTTCACAGGTGACAACAAAGGAATGACAGACGTGTTGTTAGCACTCTGGCAGGCATATGGAGAAGCACAGGGACACTTTGGAGACCAGATGGACGAACAGGCTCAACAGTCCAGGGACTAAGAGGTGAGGACCACCATCGAGGCACAGGCACTGGGAGCACTGAGGGGCTGGATTCTAGAAATATGAGGCGAGAGAGGGAGATCTCGAACGGCTCCGGGTTTCAGACTTCACTGATCGCTCACGTCACTCCTTAAGCCGAGTGCTATTTGAGGGGCCTGTGCAGGGTGGAGGGTGGTCCCAGCACCTGGAACCGTGCATGTGTTGCAGTAGACACATTTACTAAGAATACAGAGAGATTCTGTGGGTCTGGAGCTCAGAATCCTCACAGATAACTGAGGCTACAGGAAGTGCACCCACTCAAGAGGTGTGTGGAATGAGGGAGACGGCAGCCACGGCACGTTCCTAGGTGCCCCACACTTCAGATGCTGGAAGCGGCAGCACAGCCCAAGAGGCCCACGGGCCAGTGAGTGCATGGCCTTGAAGGCAGTGATCGCAGGTCCCCAGAGAAGCCAAGAAGAGAAAGTGAAGCTCCCTCGTGGGCAATCAGGAGGGGGGCTGTGGATAGCAAGGCTTTTCTGGCCACAGCCAGGCTCTGGCCTCCCCAGGCCACGCACAGAGGTTCCAGCATCGAGGAGTTTTATGGACCAGGAGGTGCTACAGGGAGTTCTTTTTCCCAGTCACAAAGCAGGGACAGAGAAACGTCTTCATTGCCTCTTTGCCTGGTCTGCCCAAAGCATGATGTCAATTAACGTTGGATTCTAGAGGGAATGTCCCTATGAACTCAGCCTCCTATCCTATCTCTGGAAAATGCATCTTAACTCATCTGTGTCGCAGAGTTGTTAGCGGATGTCAGAGCAAAGCAGTGTGGCCTTGGACACTGCCCCTACATCACGTGTGCCCTGTTTCCTCATTGGCAAAATGATGGCTGGGTTAAGATAACTCTCTCCCCTAGAAGTGATACGAGTTTAGAATAGAATCCTGTGCCTGCGAAGAGTAACTGTCCATCACAGTAGAAATCCAGCCTGATGGAAGCAGGATATGAAGGACTGCCAAATACTGGACAATTTCTATGTGCTGGGCGCGTGCTCCCATGCAGTTCTCACCTACCTGGCGAGGTGGGCACCACTCCCACTCCTTTTCCAAAGCTGCCATTCCCATCGCCCCATGGCACACAACCTGAGTCAGATCGGCCACATGAGGCTGACATCAGGGCCTTCACTCCTCCCAGGACAAAGGTGCAAGACTTGGCATAACATTTTGAGGCCATGAAAAGACTAAAAATTATCCTGTAACTCCAAGAAGAACAAACTCTCAAACTGCGTTTCCTAGATGTCATTCTCAATCACGAGGGTAACATGAATTTCCCGACAGTGAGGCTGTGATGACAACCACTACTATCTATTTCAGTAAGACGCTTCAATTAGAACATACTTTCAAACCGAAGATAAAATTCGGCTCAGCTTCAAGTCTGAATTTACCCAAATCACTTCCTTCCACCTCTTAATGTATCTACAAATTGAACCTAGAAAGCAAAACCTGAAAATAGCTTTTTGTATGTGCCACTCACTGCCAGAAAACACTACCTTTCCTGGGAAAACTGAGAAAATACTGCAGCTGTTATTTCAGATCATGCCGGAGAGGGGATACTCTTGACTTTTACTTGCAGCCAACCCAGGGAAGGGGTAGGTGAGGAAGAGTGAAGGCTAAGCAGAGGCGCTGGAGGGTCCACAGACAGGCACCAGTGCCTTCATGTTCTGATCAGGCCTTTTAGCATGCACTCTCCCCAGGTCCTGGCTCAAATGATGTCAATGCAATGACCAAAGCAAAATGCCAGAGCTGTGTCCGCCCCTTAAAGAGAGAACGCGCACATCTGCTTACAAACTAGATAGAAACCTTTATTTCACAACTTTATCATCATTCACTTTCTAAAAAGACAGACTGGGGGGCGCAGCTGAAAACACTGGGAGGCCAGATGCTGGCATCTTCCAGGCGGGAGCATAGCCGTGGTCACTCTGGGGCCGGTGTCTCTGGGGCTCTCAGGCGTCATGGACCAGATGCATCACTACTGTCCAACCCCAGTTTTACTTAGAGCCACCTCCTTTTTTGGGGCCATTAGTCCTTATTTCATGCCAGATTTTCACTAGAGGCTCCCTGTTCTTCCAAATCAGTTCATGACCATAAGTAACATACCATCTGGAGAAAAGAAAAACAAACCAGGTCTGACATTCAAACAGTGTGACATACAAATGGTAAGCAGCATGGTGATAGATACAAAGTTGACATTTTAAAAATCGAATGCCACTCACTATGTAGCCTATTAAAACTGACTCACGTAGAGAAATGATTGAGCGTTCACATTAGACTATGTAAAAGGCAGAAGTAGGATGGGACGATGGCTGAATGCTCTGCAATGTGTAAGTACTTCACATATACTACTTTTGATTCACCACTATCTGCAAGTTAAGTACCACTTTTCCCATTGGAGATATGAGGCAACCAGGTCTGAAAGAAAGTAGCTTGTCCAAGGTGCTAATAGTTTCTAAGCGGTCAATCAAGGCTCACTCGCAGGTCAGACTGACTCGATGTTCTGAAGTGTCAGAATCAGCACTGACCCAGGATGGCTATCCCAGTTGACATGCCTCCATCATCTTCCTCCTAGCTATAGGAAGGGTGGACAGCTCATCCAAACTCTGCCCCACTTTAAGATCCATAGTTCCGATCCCCACTCTCCTATTCACACAGCCTAACTGCTAACTGCGGCCTGAAGCAATGAGCCTGGGAGGCTGACACACGGAGAAGTTTAGTAACTTCGCCTGCTCAGGCTCCACAATGAGGAATCAGCAGACTGAGACTAGAACCTGAATCTGCTGCTGAGGCCTGCGCTGCAAGCACTGGACTTTTCTGCAGCGTGTAGGGAGCATCTCCTGTGAGCTGAGGAGCACACTGAGCTCTGGGAAGGGCCTGCCTTGAGAAGCTCCTGAGGGCACTGGGGGTGTAGAAAGGCTTCCTGGAGGATGTGTGGTGGATTTCCAATGGCAGTTAGTGAGAGCTGGCTATTGAAACCTTTATTTTTGCTCTGGCTTCCCCAAACAGATTTCATGTTCCCTGAGG